TCCAGTAAGCCATAAATTTTACAAAATATTTATTAAAAATTCAATCAAAGTTAGTTATAGCTGTATGCAAAACGTAAAGTTTATAATTAGTTCACATAACCACAAGATTTTACACAGTGATACAATTTTGAATGCAAGAACTTGAAACTGCATTACAAAGATTGCTTGCCCATTAAACAATCAGTGTTTATTAAGTAATATTGTTTATCAGGCTACTGTGATTGATAAAAATCCTAATTCTAAAGAAAGTAAAAATATAAATTTTGATATCAGCTAGACACCATTCAAACATAGATATGCAAATCATTTAAAATCTTTTAATGTTGTGAAATACAAAAACAATACTGAGCTTTCTAAGGAGATTTGGAGTATAAAAAAAAACAACATATATATATATATATAAATATATATATATATATATATATATATATATATATATATATACATACATACATACATACATACATACATACATACATACATACATACATACATACATACATACATATATATATATATATATATATATATATATATATATATATATATATATATATATATATATATATATATATATATATATATATATATATATATATATATATATATATATATATATATATATGCGGTTAAAACATACAAAACTCTATGATATATTTTATAATACATTTACATATATTACATGGTACATATGCCTGAATACAAATAAATTAAATATATGTTAGATAAAAAACAAACTAAATACCATATTGCACAAATTTGTGCACTTCTTTTACAATTCCGGCAATACCATCCGTGTGATGTACTGCTCAAAACCTTATAACATATACCACATTGCATATGTACAACCGTAGAATTCTTAAAAAAAAAAATTATAAAATCATTAAATTAAAGAAAGTTTTATATATATATATATATATATATATATATATATATATATATATATATATATATATATATATATATATATATATATATATATATATATATATAAACACATTATAGATTTTGAAATAAAAAAACCCACCTGGTTTAAGGTATTAACAGGAGCAGGTGCATGATTTATAACCTCAGTTGCAATATTAAACAAATGCAGTCGAGATAAGATTTCTAGATAATAAGATTATATTTTATCTTTTATTGTTGTCTTCATTAATTTAATGAAAAACAAATGATAAAAATTGAACAAATTTATTTGAAATAAAATATTAACATCATTAAAACATTAAAATCTCATTAAATTATATATACCTATATAACCATAAAACCAATCTTCTTGAATACTTTTTTCAACCATACCTTTTGCAAAACTGTTCAACACTAATAACACAGTTACACTCATCTGTATGTCACCCTATATATGTAATTTTTACTAATTTATGTATTAATTTTAGCTTTGATATCGATTTAAAATAATTAAATAAGCTTATAAATATTTCAACAAACAGTAAAACTGTTTTTTTTTTAATTGATGTGTAAGGTGCTTTAAGAGACTAAATTTGCTAAAGTCAGCAGTTTTTAACTTTGCTGAATTTAGGAGCTTTAAACATATAGCAACTATATTTATAATATTAGATCATATAAAAAATAATTTATTTTGGTAACAAGTTTAAAGTATAAAATCATTAAATTAATCAGAATAGTTTTCATTACAAAGTACTTTTGCCAACATCTAACTATATATATATATATATATATATATATATATATATATATATATATATATATATATATATATATATATATATATATATATATATATATATATATAGTTAGATGTTGTACTTTGTAATGAAAACTATTCTGATTAATTTAATGATTTTATACTTTAAACTTGTATTATATATATATATATATATATATATATATATATATATATATATATATATATATATATATATATATATATATATATATATATATATATATATATATATATATATATATATATATATATATTAGGGGTAGTCAATTTGAGGAAATTTTCAAATCTAAAATACCATAAACTCTAGATTTGGGGCAAATATTGAAAAAATAACTCCCAAAAAATTTGACCTCAACAGGACCACTCAATCCTTACCCCCTAAGCACTTTTTAAGAAAAAACATTTTTGAAAAACCTTCAAAAATCGCTGATTTCACAGGACCAGGGAGGAAATTTAATTACAAAAATTTTTTTCTGGGTTACCTATTTATTTAAATAAAAATACATAGTACAGGGCTGTGGAGTCGGAGTCAGAGTTACAACATTTTTAGAGGAGTCGGAGTCGCTAAACAAAATTATGACTCTGACTCCAAAAGTAAAACTTTTTGGTATTGCACGTGCATGTAAAAAACATTCAATTAACCTTATGTTCATACTAAACCTCAAAGAACGTTTCATAAATTGTCAAAAAAAAATTTTTCATCTTATTGTGTAATATTTTTTTTAAAGATTTCAAAGAATTTTTTAAAATTTTTGCTTTGGAGTTGTAGTTGGAGTCGGAGTTGTACTCAAAAAATTTCAACAGCTGGAGTCGGAGTTGGAGTTGTACTCTAAAAAATTCAACAACTGGAGTCAGAGTCGAAACCAAATAAAAGAAACCAGCAATAAAAGGTGATAACTAGTTTTATAATGAATCCCTTGAGCTAAAAACCCTAGCTAAACTTTTTATTTCTTCTTTTTTGTAATTAAGGCTGTCAGCTTTTTTTTTTTTGTTTGTTTGTTGATTCACCTCCTCAAGGCCGAGAAGGCCACTACAGACGACGAGGCTACTTATTTGTGGTTATATAACCCTCTCTCAACTCTATAACTCCGAAACACAAACCTTGACAAACAAGGCCGCTGCACAGAGAAACGAGTTAAGCGCGGTACTACTAGGAACGTGGTGGGGATTGAACTTGGAATCTCTCACTTATGAAGCGAGCGCTCTACCACTACACCACTACCGCATTGCTTCCAACAGGGATAGAGATACTGCAGCACTTAGCTTACTAACAATCATTTTTGCCAAAAACATCAAAAAAAGCCACTATTCTTACCTGTCCTCCTAAAAAAAATTTCAAAGATATGCAATAGAAATTAAGTGTGAATGTTTGGCCAAGGTAAATGAGCTATGAATTAAAGCTACATTTTTTATACTAAACGATCAAAAAGTGAAAAATCTTTAAAATATGGACAATGTATTTTCAAAACTTAAGAAGCATGAAAAAAGGACACAGCAATGGGTTGGCATTCCTGATCTCAGAAATACAATTAAAAATGACCAAAAAAGATCTGATTCAGACAAGCTTGAGGATTTGGAGTTTCGATGGGAACAAGAAGGGGAAAGAAGATTTATGGTTGGATCAGAAGATAAAAAGTAAAGAAAAAAAGTATGTATTTCTTTGAAATCAAAAAAAGTTAAAAAGTTTGCAAGGATTTCTAAGCAACTTATTTACAATTCAATCTACAATATGGACAATGTATTTTCAAAACTTAAGAAGCATGAAAAAAGGACACAGCAATGGGTTGGCATTCCTGATCTCAGAAATACAATTAAAAATGACCAAAAAAGATCTGATTCAGACAAGCTTGAGGATTTGGAGTTTCGATGGGAACAAGAAGGGGAAAGAAGATTTATGGTTGGATCAGAAGATAAAAAGTAAAGAAAAAAAGTATGTATTTCTTTGAAATCAAAAAAAGTTAAAAAGTTTGCAAGGATTTCTAAGCAACTTATTTACAATTCAATCTACTTAAAAAGATTTAAAATAAAAACAGCTAAACAAAAATAACAACCTTCACTCACTATTTTAATTTCTCATATAATTAAATTAAATTATTAATTATTAAATTCTTTTGAAATTTTAAGGCAACAATTAATTGCAGAAAGAGAAATCAGCATGTGAAGCAACAATATAAAGAAATAGAGGGTACAACTAATTTGGGAAAGATACAGATACTAGTGAGGACTACTTGCGTGATTTTAATACTGGAGAGTGGTTTAAAAGCAATCTTTTTCAACAAAAAGTCACGGCTGAAATTCCCATAGATGTTTTTTTCCATGTGTTTTACATAAAGTTATGGGTGCAGTTCTAACTCATGATCTGACAAATTTCAAATGCATCCAGTCTACAGCAGCTAGGAAAATGAAGCATGCCAATTGTAAAAAATGCATGATATCAAAAGAAGATGTTCAACAAGGAATGAATAAATCATATATACCAATGTATAGTGCATTTTAATGGCAAAACATTAATTGAACTAAACAAAGGAAAAACAACTAAAACTGATATACTGGCTGTACTTGTAAATATTGAAGGTGAGACACACTTGCTTGGAGTACCTCCTTTAGCTTTATTCTCTAGCCAAGATCAGGGGCTGTATTCTCATCTTTCCGTTAAGCTTAACGAAGCGTTAGTAAAAAATCTCTTTTTAACTGTATTAATAAAAAAGTTCTTTAAAAACATAAATTTTTAAAAATAAATGTTTTATTTTAGTTTTAGTTTTATCTTAAAAAATTTAAATAAGATTTTCGTCATTTCTTTACTTAGATATATTGTAATGAAATTTCAGACAAAAGCTCCGTTAAGCTTAACGGAGAGATGAGAATATGGCTGCAGTGCAACAGCGTAATAAACCTTCATAAGGAGTACAACCTTGAAGCCAAAGTAGGAGGAATATGTTTTGATACTATTGCAAGTAACACTGGGCTAAAGAAAGGTTTTTTAATATCCAACAACATAGGCAAATATCTTTTACTTATTGCATGCAGACATCATGTATGTGAAATAAGAATGGTTCATTTTTGTAATTCAGTTTCAGATGAAAATTCCACAGGACCAGATAATCCTATGTTTAAAAAATTAAAAACTGTTTTTGAATGTCCTCATTTTAATTACAATTAAACAGAACTAATAAAGTATGATTGGAAAGCAGTAAGAACTTATAAAGTATGATTGGAAAGCAGTAAGGAGAAACTTTCTTGAGAAAACTGCACAAGAGTCTTTGAACTTTTGACAAGAATACATTACAAAGGGAAAATAGAATAAATATTTTAACAGAGAAAAATAGAAAGCAATTTGAAGAACTTGTTGTGAGTTACTTTTCTTAGTCTTCAGTAACACTAAGAAAACTCAGAGTAGTTCATCATGCTAGGTTCCTATTCAAAGCACTTTACTACCTAAAGCTACAGCTTCTATCCAGCCAAATTAAGTTCGTAAATCAGAACAATAAACTCAAGACAGAAATTAGGTAATAAGTGAATTTAAAGTTTGCTTTTATGCCAAATAGTATTTACTGGCTAATGACGGTATTAGAGCTCCCTTTCTTGATATAAAAGCAATACACAAAATGCAACAGTACCAAAATATTTGTGCCAAACCAGATGCTGTTGATGCAGTTTTAAACTTAAAAAGTTGGTATTCACATTCAACAATGATTCCTCTTGCTCTGTTGGATGAGAATTTGTCATTTGAGGAGAAAGCAAACCTTGCAAAAGTAATTTTAACTTTTAAAATGCCGATTTCAACTTGATACAATACTAAAAACAAATCAAAAATAGATAGAAAAGATAAAACAAAAATAGGAAACGAAGTTAGTGAAAATCCTTCTTCCCTTGCTCTGTTGGTTGATGAATTTTCATATCATATATTTGATAGAATTGGATTAAAGGAACAAAAAATAAAAGATTGGCTTTTTCTTCTACCTGAGTATTGGTTTACTCAATCTGTTTTTAAAAACTTTCAGAATTATGCCAAATCTTTAATTGAAGTAAATAATCATTCAGAAAGATCTGTTGGAATGATGCAGCAATTTATTCACAGATACAACAATGAGGAAGATAAACAGAATACATTGTTGTGTTAAAAACAACTGTTGAAAAAGTTTGGTGTGCTTTCAGAACACCTGGAAGACGTTCATAACTCCTGGAAGACGTTCAAACAAACTTTCTAAAAGTAAATTTATTGAAAGCTTATCTTCTCTTGATAAAAAGAAGAAAAGTGGTGAAAATGAACACAACTAAAATTATTTGCTCTTGAAATTTAATCGAATAACATGAAACTAACATCAAATATTTTAATTTTTTAAATTCAAAATACAAAAATAAAAATATCTTTTAAAAAAAACAATGATACCATGTATTTATACTCAAATATATAGGTAAAAATAAACAACCCGGAAAAAAAATTTCAAGTTTTTGTAATTAAACTTTCCCCCTGGACCTGTGAAATGGGCAATTTTTGAAGGTTTTTCAATTTTTTATTTCAAAAAAAAAGTCCTTAATGGGGGGAGGGGGTAATGGGTAATTATGCTTATGGGTAAGGATTTATGGGTAAGGAGTTTAACATTCACTCTTAGGTGCTTCTGATCACGGTTTGATCTCTCTAAAACTGTTATCTCATTCTTCTTCATCATCAGAATCCCCCTATCATCGTATCTCTTGCAACTATTTTAAAGCTGGGACTCTTTCCAGGATTTTTGCCATGAACTATTATTAAGTTATGAGTTACTAAACAACAAAAGATAGGGTTAAAAAACATGGAAACGGTTAACTTAAAATTTAAAAAATTGTATGAGTAAGGAAAACATGAAGATGGGTGATTGTTTTGTTGATGTGCGAAAAAAAAACTAGATGAATAAAAATTTTTATAGCATAAAGGGACAGATACAGTAAAAGGATGGGACTTTGCTGAATGACAAGCCAGGCAAGAATGAGTTTTGATTGATCGAACTTTGGATAATAGCTCATTTGAGCAGCAACCATATTAGTATTTAAAGATAGTAAAGTTGCATCTCTTTCTTAAAAAAGAAAGAGATGTAACCTTATGGCGATGGTAGAGAAGCTCAAGGTTGGCAGATAAAGCAGGTCCAACTACATTTACAATCCACTTTTGGACCTTGCCCAAGAGTGAGAGGGTTGTTATTCGTCAATATGGGAATATCAACATTATTGTGATGGTTTTTTGCAGTAAACAACTGAGTTTTTTTGGAGTTAAATCCACAAGCAAAAGCAAACCTCAGAAAAGTGGTCAGAGTAAAGAGTTGTTCTAAATGATCAAAAAGTGTTTTTGTCAAGACAAGTGTATAAAGTTGTCAGCAAATTTATACACTTTGATGTAAAAAAGATCATTACTGTAGATAAAAAACAATATAGGAGCAAAGAACATTGCTGTTGCTACTGTTCTCATTTCCAATAAACATGTTATTGTTAGTTATTGGAAATAAAGACGAGTGGAGGTCTTTGAGAATGAACTAAATACTGTGGTTAGAAAGAAATGATTTAATCTTTTGGAAAACTATAATGGAAATGTTGTGTAAACCACACAAAATGTCAAAATGTTCTCATTTCCAATAACCCTTAAAGTTCCTCTTCTTTATTTCTTCTTCATTGATGGAAACCACGCTGATGGAAACCACGCTGTGGTAGTTTAACTGAGAATTGACTTTAGCATTAGAAGTTAAAGTGATTTAGATGCCTAACAATGGGTTAACCTGTTTAACTGGAATGATAGGAAGAATACGATCATTAGATTCAATAGTCAAATTAGAGGTTTAATAACTCTGCCTAATTTTGGTGAGAATTGATAAGATCAGACCCATGAATTAGAGATAAAATTTTAGATATACTTTAGTTACTCCTTAAATTCAGCGCTTGTTTTACAACCTTGGTTGCTGCTGCAGAGAATAACTAAATAATGATAAAAAGGCTTCAGCGGTTATATACCTTTTTAACTTTTTTATCCTTATAATTTTTTCCTTATTTACTTGGACTTGACAACTAAGACTAGTACTTCGATGCATTTTTTTGCATTTTTTCAAATATATAAAAAAAAAAAAAAAAAAAAAAAAACCTGCTGTGCGTAGAAAAATAGGACTTCCTTTACCAGATTATCAAAATTCCATGGAGGTAACTCCTACATTAGAATGCAAAAAATCTAATAACAAACAACAACAACAAAATTATAAACTGTATATAAAAAAAAGCTAACCAAAGAAATTGGTAGTGCCTCTTTGAGTCCATCTTTTTGCTCTGTATCACTTTGTGTAAAAAGCCTGAAAAAAACAACAACATTAAAATTATTTTATATGGTATGTCTTCTAGGTAATCATCAGAAAAGTGTTTATCCACTCACCTATCATTAAAAGACTGGCGAAGTTGGAATGCTTCCTAAACAGCAAACAAATAAAGGTTGATCTCTTAGGGTTGACCAATCCTGGAACACATATATTTTCTCAAATTGAAACTTTTTAGTTAAGAATTCTTAGAACTACATGTGTTATGAATTCTTAGAACTTGCGTTTTCAATGATGATTTTTATTTTATTTATTGCTTTTATATTTTGGCTGAATACTGAATGCTGAGTACTTTGATTTTTGACTATTTTAATTTTGATTAATTCAAATAAAACATGGAATATATATATATATATATATATATATATATATACATAAACGCGTGTTAAGAATAAGCACTGTGACGCCACACTAAAATAGCCTGCAACCAAGGATTTTAGTACATGCATTGACTATCTGATATAAAGAGTGCCGCTACATTGACTGAGATTTAGGGATGGGGCATTGAGATTTTGGGATGGATTTTTTACTATTATTCTTTTTTTTTCTTTTTCTGTATGCTATAAAGATAAGCAAACTTAGTAAGCATAAGCTAATCTAAACACACTATAGTAGATCTATACATATATAAATGCATTTATATTTAAATGCATAAAAATTAATTAATGTTTTTTTAATTATTATTTTTTAAGAAACTTTAGTTTAAAAAAAAGTCATTCATTTGAGGAGAATAAAATACTTAAGTTGATGGGTAATTAAAAGAACACTTAATAAAAAAACAACCAATAACAACACTTAAAAAATACCTAAATAATAATAAATTTACTTTAAAATTCTTGTTATAATGTTGAGTCGTTAATAAGTTCTGGAAGTTAAATTGTTATTTGTATGGAATTTTTTGGTGCATTTTACATGAATATGGTATGTATATTTGACAAATTCATATACAATTTCATTTTGAATTTTTGCACAGATACAACTTCCTTGAGTTTAACATAATTTATTTAATTTGCTGACTTTAGCAGGATGTCCAGGTTGCTGGCCGTTCTAATTATTTTATAAATATAAAAAACACATATAAAGCGTTTTTATATTATAAAGTTATGAATGTATACATATAAAGTTTGAATGTTTTGTCTATAAGTATGCTTGCGCAAGCTGTTTACAAAAAGAGGCGACATTGCACAGAAACAACAAGAAGACATAAAACCAAAAGAAGAATATACAAGACCAGAAAGATTACACAAACCCAACAAAAATAAACAAGGTAAACAAAAAATATATGTATTAGAAGATTTTTAATGCATTAAAGCAAAATTAAAATTTCAAAGATTAAAAATACCCTGGGTAGATCTTCAAGATCTTCTACATCCTCATCAACATCAGCAGAGAAAAGTTGCTCATTACAGTCTTCATCCCCAAAAACAGCATCTAATTCAGGTCCTACTAATGTCATATCTTGAAAAACATTAGATACAACACCACTAGGTGTTTGAAGGCCTGGATCCATTTCATTTTCAGAGCTTAATGTTGATTGATTATTGCTTTTGAAATCAATGCGTTCTAAAATTTAAATTTGTTATTAGCGAATCAAAATTTATGAAAAATTATACAATTATATATAAAATTTACAAAATCCATTTATTGCATTTGTAGTATAAAAATTTAAAAAATGGTAACAAGGTAACTTCTAAATTATAAATAAAAAATATGTTCAATAACATATTTTACTCTTTATGCTTCATTTTTAATAATTTTTTTTTTTTTTGCATTAACTTTAATAACTTAATAATTCTCATTTATTTTTATTATTTTATTTTACAACGAAAATACTTTAATTCATAAAAACAAGTAATAAATGTAAAAAAATAGAATATATTTGTTAAATCAAAATTTTCAGTACAGTAAAAAACAAACATTTCACTTTAATTTTGAAAATTAAAACTTTGCCTAGTGCCTCTCTGAACAAGCTTTTGCACATAGAGAAGCTTTTTTCAACTTTGACAGATGATATCAGGGCATATTCCGGTCACTAAAATTATACAGTTTTGTATTAAAACAAACCACGCTTTGAGGACATGTTCTTAAAAATATTAAAACCATAGAATTTTTGATTGTTTTAAACTTTAAACTAGATTTTAAATTTGTTAAACTTTAAATTTTGAACTTGTTTTAAATTTTAAACTAGATTTTCTCTACACAGCTTTGATTTGCACATAAGGTGGTTCCCCAAATGAATCCATTTTGCATAATAGGCCTCAGTAAAATTCTCTACCTTGTTAATATAGGCTGTGGTAGCAAAAAGGCCAGGTTGTAAACATTTCAAAATTTCACTCTTTATGGAGCCTTTAAAAACACTTTTTTTACATATGATGCAAGTTGATCAATATTCAGAAATATGCATTTGTCTGTAAAAGCAATGAAAAAGAAAAGTTAAGTGTATTATTTTGGAGTAAATTATTCCTATTACTCTAGCTGCTTTTACCAAAAATCTCCAGACTCATCAAAAAAATTTGCAATAATGTTATGATGGGCTTCCTTGAACTCGGCAGAGCTCAATAAATTTTTCATGGAGATTTTTTGCTCTATTGAAATAATATATGCAATATCTCAGAAGTATCAGCGGTTTCATCAATTGACATTCCAAACAACAATTGCTAATTTTTAAATAGTTTCAATACAAGATTTGATACAAGATTCAATACAGTTTTTCAACATGAGTTATGCAAACAGTGGTTTCAGATGGAACTTTTACTTCTGTATACATTTGCAAGAAATCAAATAATTTTTTATTATGAATTTTGTACAACGGTATATCAGCAGCTACAAAGACACTGCACAAGCCATAATGAGTACAAACATATAGAACTGTTTCCCAAATTAGCTTTGTAAAAGTTCTAGGTGAAAGTTGTTGCAGACTCAACAAAACTTATTTCTAAAATCTAAGCTTGTTGCAAAAATACTTTGTTGGGTATTGTATAAGAGTAAATATTTTCTCTGGTGAAACAGATTTATTGTGCGATTTAAAAGTTAAAATGTTTTGACTGTTTTTAAAGCAGACATTTCTCACAACCTCAGTTTTTACTGCTTCGTAAATTTACCTGCTAGCTTCCTAATAAATCTATAATCAAATAACATTTCACCTAGGACTTGTATAGAGTAAATCAATAAACAATATAGATTCGCTTTTTTAGGCAAATAAACTCTGACTTAAAATACCCCTGCCTTAGGGCTCTTGATTGAGATAGTGTCTTAATAAAAGTACTCATCTCGAGCATATATTAACAGCATTTGGCATTTTATTGCATCTGTCTTGCAAAAGGCCTTCTAGACATAGACGTTGAACATAAATGGTGTTTCTGTTGCACGTGAATGGTGTCTCTGGTTGCATGTAAATGGTGTCTCTGTGAGCGCTTTTTATTTTCAAATTTTTCAAGTCTTAAAGTTATCTCAGAAGTTTTAGAAAAATTTCTTTCAGAAAAATTCTTTAGAACCTAACTTAATCCTTATCATTAACAAAGGTATGACTAAGATTCTCTCCTACATGGATATGATCTTATTTTGATAAGAACTATTTGCAAAGAACTTTTTCTCTAACTCATCTAATAAATCTAAAGACCAAGCTCTTCCGGCCATCCCAAAAATACAGGTTTATCTATTGTCAGAGATCCAAACCAATCCTACTGCTTATAGCCTGGACAACATTCCTATCACAATCTTATAAAAGTGTTAAAAATTCGTGTTAAAAATTCCCTTAAATCTTCTATAAACTATTTAACAAGTGTTAAACTTCTTGTTTTCCAGCTTACTGGAAAATGGCATTGGTGGCTCCAACTTCTAAAAACTCTGGAAAACACTATCACTCTTTAACTATTGTCCAATCATTTCTCTTGACTTTTCTCTACTGATAGCAATCAATCAGCTCTCTACTATTAGATATTTGAGTCTTTAACTATAAGGTTTTTGAGTCTTTAATTAACAAGTTTCTAACATCTCACCTTGAGTCAAACTACCTCCTCTCTGACAATAAATATATATTTCAACCTTGGTCTACAGCTATCTTCCTTATTGTTATAAAAGAGAGGTTCTATTGTGCATTAGATGGAGGCAGCAAGGCAAGGCCTATTGCTCTTCACATATCAAAGACTTTCGAAAAAGCGCTAAATGCTGGTCTTTTCCATAAGATCACTTCATATAGTTTATCACTTAAAGATTTCTTAGAACAGGCAGCCAATCTTAAATCTGTCTTCAGCTTTTGAAAAAAACTTGGTTTACTGCTAACAGTATTACAATATTATTGATATTCCTTTATTGATAAATGGCAACATACTGAGCTTATTGTCTAATACCCTTACTGAGTTATTTGCATTGTCTTCTCGGATTATCATTCATTATTGAATTTGCATGAAAACCATTTAAAATTTATGTGCTAACCATTTTTTTATACCCAATTTTATCCTCTGCCCCAACAAATATCTTATTTGCCCATATATATTCAGGCTGATTCTTCTAACGATACAGTTTATTTTCCAAATAAAGTCTAAAAACGTATTGTAAATCTAATTAGACTAAACTTGAGCCTCTGTCCCATTATCAGAAGGTTGTATTTCTCTGAATACTATTTATCGATCAGAAGAAAAGTAAACAGGCTTTCAGAGTTTAATGTAAAATGTTTTATAAAATTATATTTCTTGTCATAAAAAGGCGGAGAAAAATACAACTGTTAGTCCACTCAAATCTGCATACAACAGAGAATTTAACATTTTTATGGCTGCAAATATAGGACAAAAAATTATTCAATACAAATTAGTTAAACTGTTAACAAAACCATTGAATTATCTTAAATATTGAAAAAGCAGATTTCCAGTGATTTCAAATATTTATTCATTGGCTCCCACAAAAATTCAAGAAATGATTTCAAACCAATACAGTTACAGTTTTAAATTAAGTTTTAAACTTCATTACTTAGTAATATTCAGATGTCAAAACCCCCTGAAAATGACTTACTTTGACTTTACAACACAAGCCATAAAATAAAAATAGTTTGCCATAAAATAAAACATTTCAAATGAAGATTTGTTAAGAATCAAAGGGCCTAAAACAATTGTGAATCAGATGTTGCATTCCTCATATTAAGGACCTTGAACTTTGACTATTTGACAAATTGGTCAATATCACTTTCAAATTGGTCAATATCACTTTCAAATTGGTCAATATCACATTCAAATTGGTCAATTTCACTTTCAAATTTGTAAATATCACTTTCAAATTGGTCAGTTTTACTTTCAAATTGATTAATATCACTTTCAAATTGGTCAATATCACTTTCAAATTGTACTTAATTTGTCAAAAAAGAAAACCAGAAAATGTTAAAAATAACATTCAAATAATAAAAATTCAACCAATCACTAATTTTTCAATTTTCAATGAAAGATATTTTAGAGGACAAACAATAGTTGAAAAGTAAAAAACAAGCAGTCAAAAAGAGCGCAGTGCAATTAAAAAGAGTGCAAATGAAGAAGAGAATGAGAAAGTTAAATCAACTTGTGAAAGATCGCGTTTTAAAATTTGAAATTTAAAGCAACATTTTATTAAAAGTAGAAGTTTCTTTTTTAATAAACTTTAAAACTTTTGGTAAAAACACACATTTTTACTTTCCATTATGGTAGGCTACACAAGTTGTGAATTAACGTTTGGTAAAACCACACATTTTTACTTTCCATTATACTAGGCTACACAAGTTGTGAATTGAGATCTAGGGAAGACTTAACAAGATCTTTTTTCATTTAGGTTTTATGGAACACATTGTCTGAAAAACAATGAAAAAAGTTAAAACTTTACAAATGATCCAAGATCCAAACATGGTCCAAACATGTTTAACAAAGGTTCAAAATGTTTGGCAACCAAGAAGAAAAAATATGAAAATCTAATTCTATTAACCCCCTCCCTCTTCCTCCCTCACACACACACACCACCACTATATCAGTTGATTCACTCAAAAAAAGCAACAACTAGCAAACATTATAAAAAATGGATAAAAATAAAAACCAGTAATGTCACAACTTTCTTATTAAAAAAACACACACAAAAAAAAGTTTAAAGACTTATGTCACAAGTTATGTTTATATGTTTGTGTTAATTTGTAGTTAATTTAAAATTTTAAAAATAGTGCATTGATGATTATGCAGCAACATATCTATTATTTAGTGGAGACAATAACTAAAAAATCTAGAAATGTGACATCACCAGTATTTCTTTTGCATCCTTTATTTATTCTCAAAAATTCTCAAAAACCAATACCAGTATTCTAATACTCTCAAAAACACTACACATCAAGCGCATAAAACAAAAATTCAATGCATTGTATTACTTAATAAACTTTTAGCAATATTTATAAAGCATTATTACGCACCAGGTGTATCTAGCAATCTTGAATGATCTTTCCCAATCATTGGGTTTGAATAAGTAGTAATCTGAAGCGGTGGACTAGGATCGACTTCTGTTTTTGAACTTGGGTAGTACAGCTGACCAAGTATTGCCCAAACTTGTGCTTTTTCAAAGAAACCCAATTTTTTAGCTGCCTGATACAAAATAAAAGTTTAAATTATCAGCATATTGAAAAAACACTTAAAATATGATTAAAATAATAAAATTTTAAAAATATGTATTTTTAAAAATTAAATTGGTGATAAAAAAATATACTATAATAAATAATAGAAAATACAAAATATTTGAAAAAGATGAAGTTTTTTTAACATACAATAATTAATCAAAATATTAATTATAACACAATATAAATTACAAATAAATAAAAAATAAATAAAAAAAAAATAAAAAAAAACTATATACCTTATTATTATTAAAAAACTATTATACCTTAGAATTATGCTCGCACATTGCAGTTACTGATTTGCCAAAAAAAATGTATTCTTTTGCAAGAGAAGAAATCCACATTTCATCCTAATATAAAAAAAAGCTTTTTAAAAGCCTTTTATACATAATAAGAATTATAAAAAAGGTCAAAACTAATTAGGTCTTGTATTGATCTTTACAGTCATTTGCAATCAAATGCTTACCTAAATCATAAAGTATGTTTTAAGAAAGTAATTTTGTATACTTTTTTTTTAAAACATTGAGTATCTAAAAATACTGCCAATACAGTTGTGACTTTCAGAATTAATCTATTCTTGTGGAATTTCAAAATACTTAATATTTTTATACATTTAACTATATTTTTTATGATTACTCAAAAAACAGGAATTTTCACTATTTTGGTTTTTTTACATTATTAAAACACATTTTTTAATGCAAAAAAAAAAAAAAAAAAAAAAAAAAAAAAAAAAAAAAAAAAAAAAAAAAAAAAAACTATCCAGTATGTTAGTGTTTGTAGAACCACAAATGGACCAAGTTAACTTGGTTGAGAAATTCTAACTTTTTTTAGTCACCCATGGATGGATCAAGTCGACCTAAATGCATACTTTAATACTAACTATGAAATGCATACTAAAAACTAACAGTTGGTAAAAATACTGTCTATCTTACTATTTTAACCACCTGTACCCCAACTTGTTGCTGCATGTCAAAAGTTATCTTCTGCATATTAAATAAACTCTATTGGAAAACTCTGTTAAAAAAAAAAAACAGTTGCTTATGCATATCGTTCAAAATCCAAACTTCTACTAATTTGCAAGTTGAACTTGATGGCAGTTTTGTGACTAAGGTTCAAACTGTTCAACTTTTGAATAGTTTGAACAGCAAGTTGAACAGTTAAGGCAAAATCAATTTACAAACAGAAAACTAAAGATTTAACTGAGAAATTTTTATTGAAAAATGGCAAGTTAGGAAAGAGGAATATAAACTGAAGATGAAAATAGTAATTGTTCAGAGGGGGAAAAACAGGAAAATCGATTTGGTAGAATGATATTTATTTGTTTTTCTTTTTTTAATATTTTAATAGTGAGAGAAAAAACAAACATTAACTTAAAGTGTATTTACCTATATTTTTATGATTATTTTAAAAAACTTTAAATTATATTCAAGAGACGAAAATATTTTTATCAATTTAAAATACCTTCTAGTTTAAGGTGAGCACTTTAATTGAAAAAACTACCTTCTAAATTTATTTTTGCATGTACAAAACTTTCTTTTTGTAGTTTGCTTATATAATAGTGTATTTTCTTGTTTTTTTTATTTGTTTTTTTTTAATATCTAAACATAATGAAACATTAATTTGATTTTCTTGTTTCATCAATTTTTACACATGAATTAGATTGCTATTATCAAGCAAATAAATTACAATTTATTTTGTCTTTTTTTGATAACATTACATAAAACTAATGCTAAACTAACGCTAACAAACAGAAAAAAAAAAATTATAATAATAAAGCAAAAGACTTTAAAAATATGTACAAAACTAGTATTGTAAAAGAAAAAAAAAAATTTGTTAACATTTTTTCTTTGCATAACTTAAAATATTATTGAAAGTTATTATAAACACATCAAATCAAACAGTTCAAATCAAACACATCAAATCAAACAATTCAAATCAAAACCTCTAAACAAATTCTTTGATAAAAGTTGTAGGAAGGGAAAAAAAAGTTAAAAGATTTTTTAAAACTGGAAAATATCATAAAAGTTAATGCTCCAGAAACAATTGTATATACAACATTTTTATTTACAGACGTTTTTACCATTTAATCTATTTTCATTTAGTTCAGCCATATGAATATGCCTGCTTAGCATAATCTAACTTATTTGATTTTTCTTTTGATGAAAAAAAAAAAATATTCTTTTATTTTTAGAAGATTTTCTGTTATCTTTGTATCATCTTTTTATTCTTGATTTCTGTCTTGTGTCATTTATTTTCTTTCTCTGCCTTTCTTTGTCCTGTATTTGCAGCCATAAAAATGTTTAAAATGTTTTCTGTTGTATGCAGATTCGAGTGGAGCAACAGATATATCTTTCTCCGCCTTTTTATGACAAGAAGTATAACCTTATTAAACATTATACATTGAACTCTGAAAGCCTGTTTAATATTCTTCTGATTGATAAATAGTATTCAGAGAAATGCAACCTTCTGATAATGGGACAGAGGTTCAAGTTTGGTCCAACTACATATACAAAACATTTTTAGACTTTGTTTAAAAAATAAACTGCATCATTAAAAGAACCAGCCTGAATATGACAACAGCACTCCATACATGAGCAAATAAGATATTTGTTGGGGCAGAGGATAAAATTGGGTATAAAGAAATGGCGAGCACAATAAAGAAAAGCAATCTTAGCAGATGCTAACTTTGTAATAGATTTTGTAAATGGTTTTCACGCAAGTTCAATATTGAATGATAATCCGAGAAGACATAATGCAAATAACTCAGTAAGGGTATTAGACTATTATCTCAGTAAGGGTATTAGACTACAATCTCAGTAAGGGTATGTTGCCATTAAAAAAAAATGCTTTTGTAAATAAAGCAGGGAACTTAAGTGACCATCCTAGTAATCTGTTCCAAGGTATTTGTCAACTGCAAGTCACCCGTCATCAAAAATAAAGCAGCTTACAAAAAACTAAGTAAAAGGCAAACTAATGTATGGTGGATGATAAGAGATAAAAAGCTTGTTGTCAGAGATAAAAAAGTCTTCACCAACTAGTTTCTTATCAAATTCTTTTACTATGTAATCCTGTTTCTGATTACCCTCTCAATACAATAGAACTTAACTCAACTCATCAACAAATGTGATGGCAAATAAATCTAAACCTCACTAGCCTCAAAAATGTAAAATATTTAACACTCTTACTTGTCCATAATTCCAATTATTGAATGAGTATTTGAAGGTGGCAGTTTATATTTTTAATTATTTATGCAGTGGGCATAAATAATAAAAAATATTTTTTTTTAAAATAACAACACATAAGCCTGCTCTACTAAGCAGTTGGCCATTTATGAATTATTTGAACACAATGAGAAGATCAGTGAGCATTATTGACATTTACCAATTAGTAAACTGGTTGTAACAACAGTAAATGCTGTTAACATCATAAAAGTGCTGATTGAATGCTTTTCAAATATTGATAAATATTCCAAAAATAGTTCTGATTGCCAACTCTCATTTTTATTGTATGCACAAAACCTATTTTAATTCCAGCATGAATGGCAAATTAAAATATATTTTGAAATATGTCGTGCCCATATCAGTCTGGATTGAATGCGATAACCATAACCTTGTTCTTTGCTTCAAAAATTTGCTTAAAAATTTTTCTCCAATAAGTGATACTGATGAAACATTATTGGCTATTTAGAAGATTTTTCATTAAATACTAAATTTTTTTCAAGAAAATCTACACAGAAGTTGTTATAACAACAATCTGCTTGAGTGTAACAAAATAGACAGCCTATGAAAGACCATCTAAAGCTCTCTATGATGGATATCCACAATAGTAAAGTACAATCTTGGACAGTTTAAACAAAAGACATAAGCCTGAAGTCATGGGTTTACTTGTTACTCTTGACTCAAAGATTTTTTGGCAACATTGCTTTCATGATGTTTAACATAACATTCATGTAGTATGGCTATTTCTCCCTTAAATGCAACATTATCTCCTATAAATGTAACACTACAGAAGTCACATGCTTTTGTGCCAGGTGATTTGATATTAAAATAGTCGTCTGCAGGGGCTTCAGTACATGAAAATGAATTCTTAAAAAACTTTATTAAATAGAAAACATTGGCAAAACTTCATTAAAATGACGTATAATTTGACGATTATGTTGAAATTGAAATATACTCATAAAGTGATTTATGTAAAATGTATAAAATGCTAGAAGACAAAAACTAAGATTTTTCAATCCAAAATTCAAATTTCAATTTTTCAATGAATCACAAAATCTCAATAAAATAATCTTAAAAAATAATCTAAAATCAAAAATTCAATAACTTGACACACAACAAAATAACCTAAAATTTCTAATTTTACTTACAAATATAGAATGCATTTCAAAAACATTGACAATACTGCATTCTTGATGAGAGTCTTGAGTTTCGAGTCCAAATTTTGACTGCTTTTTAGCATTTATGCTAGAAAATAAAACCATCACCATTATCGATATTTTTGTAAAGTTACAAGATGAATATAGAATATATGATATATGGTATATATATATATATGGTATATATATATATATGGTATATATATATATATGGTATATATATATATATATGGTATATATATATATATATATATATATATATATATATATATATATATATATATATATATATATTTATATATATATATATATATATATATATATATATATATATATATATATATATATATATATATATATATATATATATATATATATATATATATATATATATATATATATATATATATATATATATATATATATATATATATATATATATATATATATATCTCCTAGTAGTGTAGTTGAAAGAGACTTTTATGGTAAAAAAAGTCTCTTTTGACTACAATTTTTTTACCTTGTCTCTAAAGCTGCATTTTATTGTCGTCGAAATGTCAAAGCAATTAAATTAATGCGGAAGTACATTAAATTTTATTGTTTTTTAAAAAAACCGCAATAATAATGACTAGAAAGTTTTTTTTAATTAGTGGTGTTTTTGTTTTATTAAAAAACATTTTTAAAACATGCGTAAGTATTGCTACATCGACTATCTTTTAGCCTGCTGCTACAAGGGAGTGTTGCTACATCGACTATCTTATAGCCTGACTCGCAACAGAGTGCTGCTACATCGACTGACAAATAGCCTGACTCGGAAGGGAGTGCTGCTACATTGACTGAGGGTTTGGTTTGGTCAGGCAGTCTACCATTCAGAAAAAATTTTTTTTTGAAGTTTTTTAACATTTTCTGGTCAGGCTTATTAACGTGCTCTTTAAAACAACAGTTTATGGGAAAAACTTTGTGACTACCATGCAAGACTGTATATATATATATATATATATATATATATATATATATATATATATATATATATATATATATATATATGTATATATATATATATATATATATATATATATATATATATATATATATATATAATAAATATATATATATATATATATATATATAAATCATACAACAACAATATATATATATATATATATATATATATATATATATATATATATATATATATATATATATTGTTGTTGTATGATTTAGTAATAAAAATATATATATATATAATTTTAATACTAAATAACATAGCTTAAAAGAGGTTTTGCTTATCCCAATGTATACCTTATCTTTGTATTGAGGTTTGCAAGCAATTGCATTAAAAAATCTTTGTCCATTGAACAACAATTGCTTGTCTAACAACATCATTTACCAAACCACCGTAAGCTCAAATAAACCTCAATACAAAGATAAGGTATACATTGGGATAAGCGAAACCTCTTTTAAGCTACGTTATGCAAACCATCTAAAATCCTTCAATATAAAAAAGTACAAGAACGACACTGAGTTATCTAAGGAAGTATGGGAATTAAAAGATAATAATTTTACATCTTTAATCAAATGGAATATAATTAAATGCTGTAAATCATACAATCCTGCGTCAAAAATTTGTAAGCTTTGTTTAAATGAGAAATTTGAAATATTATTTTACAAAGGAGATAACCAGCTAAATAAAAGAAGCGAAGCAGTTTCTAAATGTAGACACAAAAAAAATTTCTCCTTTCATTATTTGATAGCGGAGATTAGTTTTCCATTACATCTTCTACTAAAACGCAAGAACTCATTCTACTATAATTTGTAATTTTTAAACGGTTTTTTATATTTTTGATTTTGTACTTCATGGCTGATGATTGCCAATAGACATGAAACTTTAAGTTCCATTAAAAGTTGTTTCTTTTATATATATTCAAGTATATATATATATATATATATATATATATATATATATATATATATATATATATATATATATATATATATATATATATATATATATATATATATATATATATATATATACATATATATATATATATATATATATATATATATATATATATATATATATATATATATATATATATATATATAAATAAATAAATTAAAATAAAGTTAAAACAGAGCTATAGTTATATAGTTATATATTTTTTATAAATAAAACTACATATTTTTTACAACTATAAGTTTCATGCTAAATGCAATCATTAGGTAAAAAATGTGATTTTTTCTCATTGAAAAATAATTCTGTTCAAGAGAAAAATGTATTAAAAAATCTAACTTTTTGGTTTGTGGCTACCGAGCAAAAATTTGTTCTTATGGCAACACTGAGATATTAGTTCGCTTTTTTGTTTAATAATTCTTTGTGATTTTTATACAATAAAATTATTATTTATTGTAAAAAGATAATAGGCATTTTTTAGTTATGTTGTTGTAGGCGGGGGTGCTTTTTATAATGGACCATATTAAATTGGGTGCTGTTTTTAACTTATTCTTTGTATCCCATAGGTATTTTGAAAGAGTGGTTGTATTTTAAAGCTTTTTGTTTTTAAACAACTTGTGATTCGCATATCTAATTTTTCACACGCCCTCTGTTGAATCTATATCAAAATCAGAAAGATACCAAATCCAGGCTTTGCAATGAATCGGGAGCAAATGCTCCCAACACATGAAACACGCCCATAAATGAACTTGCGGGCGCAACAAATAGCGCTTGCTGGTTTCATTACAAGAGTAAAAAATTGCGCTCATTTATTTGGTTGATCTATTAGCATTATTTGTCACGCCCGGAAGTTTATTTATAGGTGTGTTTCATGTGTCGGGAGCGATCGCTCCTGATTCATCGCCAGACCTGAAATCAGAAGCGTTCATCACACTTAAGGACCACAAAATCAATTTCCAAAACACAAAACCCTGCCGCCAACTTAATCCAGTAAAGAGCAAACTTGGCATTGTAAGCAAAACCTATTTAGACAAAGTCAATAAACACAATTACATTGAAATTAAGTCAGTGGAAAAATACTGCTGAAGTTATAATAAGTTATATTAGTATAAAAGAAAGGAAATACTGTACTTTTATTCAACTTGACATCACCAAATTCTACACCTCCGTCAAACTTACTATACTGAAAAATGCTTTAACATTTGCGAAACAACATTTAATAATTAGCGAAGAAGAAATCAGAACAATAATTGCAGAAAGTCTTTACAGAAGTCCTTTACAGAGACAATGGACTGATAGTGATGCATAAAATATTTGTCACACAGATAGATAGAATCCAAAAAATAAAAAATAAATAAATAAAAAATTAGCTTCCAAATAGAAATTAGGACAAACCTATCAATTGCAAACTTCCTAGACGTAACTTTTAATTTGGAAAAATACTCATACCATCCTTTCAAAAACCAAATAGCAACCTACTTTACATCCATACCAAGCCTAACCCCTACAAATTATTATACAAATTCTAATTACTAGCAACAATAGGTTATCCCAAAATTCTTCTGACAAAAAAATATTCAACTCATCATACGAAGAAGAAAAAAAGAAATAGTTTCAAAGATTTGAACTTTAAATAAAACCCTACCAAAGAATAAAAACCAAACAATACCAAAGAAGCTCCTAAACAAAAAAGAACAAGAAATCTGGTTTAACCCACTAAACAAAAAAGAACAAGAAATATAAACTGGTTTAACCCACTAAACAAAAAAGAACAAGAAATATAAACTGGTTTAACCCACTTAACAATAAAAGTGTTATGTTAGATATAGACAAAACTTTCTAACAACTAATAGACAAACACTTTCAAAAACAAATCCACTTCATAAACTGTTTAACTGCAACACAATAAAAGTCAGCTACAGCTGCATAAGCAACATAGCAAAAATCATAAAGAATCACAACAATAAAATTATTTTGATGAACCTAACTGCCATTTTAGCTTGCAATTGTAAACTAAACGAAACCTGCTTTATGAATAAAGATTGCAGAAAAACAAGTGTAATTTATAAGCGCATTGTATCATTCCTAAACACACCTGACAAAACATATATAGGTTCAACAGAGGGTGTGTGGAAAATTAGATATGCGAACCATAAGCAGTCGTTCAAAAACGAAAAACTTAAAAATACAAACACGCTTTCAAAATATCAATGGAATACAAAGAATAAGTTAAAAACAGCATCCAATTTAACATGGTCCATCATAAAAGGCACCCCCGCCTACAACAACATAACTAAAAAATACCTTTTATCCTTATACAAAAAACTAATAATTTTATTGTATAAAAATCCAAAAGAATTATTAAACAAAAAAAAACGAACTAATATCCAAGTGTCACTATTATAACAAATTTTTGCTGGATAACCAAATAAAAAAACCAAAAAAAAACAAGCTTTAGTTCTTCTTGACTTTGCAGAAAACTATAGTTTTCTAATACAGGATGCAGTGCAAGGTTTTCACTGGAATAAAGGCCAGGTAACTTTGCACCCCTTAGTATTTCAGAAGAGCATCAAGATCATCATATTAAATTTATGAAAAAAACTTCTTTATGTAACAAATTCACGTAACCATGCAGAGATGGTCTCTGTTGGGTACCCCTGATGCATATGCAAAGCACAATCTTATCCAGTCTAACAGATTTTATAATGTTGAATTAAAAGAAATCACTGAGATTATTTAATCATTTGAGAAACTTAATTTTTTGTGAATTTTATAAATTTTTTTTATTGTCTTAAAAAAATTTTATTCTCAAAATAGCTATAAAAAAAATTTCAACTGAAATTCGATGTTATATATAAACAAATATTCAAAAGTTATATATAAACAAATCTCTTATAATATTTAGTGTAATACGTTTGTATTTAAAACGTTGGTAAATTTTTTTCATCACTACAATTTACAAATTGCAAAACATTTTGTTTGTTTTTCATTTTAAAAAAATTGTGTTATAATCGGGGGGAGGGGTGGGTGGGGAAAGGCGGTTATAGGTTTTCATCTTTTTTCTTTTAATTTTCTTTTTTTTTTTCTATTGGGATCATAAGGCTATATAATATATATAATCATTGATATTTTTTAATTATTATTTTATAACAAATAATATTATTTAATTCAATGCATTTATTTATTTTGTTAATTTGAAATTTTTTTATGGTAAATTTACCTGACTTTTAGAGACTATCTTTTCGGATTTTAAATAAGTGTCTATTAATTTTTTTGGTTTTTATTAGTTAATACTCCTTGATTGATGCGTATTAGAAATTTTGTAACAGATGCTTTGCATCACAGATCAATTTTAAGAAAATTTTGATCCGACTCATTTTGATGACCTATAGCTTTTGAATGCAGCTCTTTAATCAACTGATTTTTTTTTTAATTATTTATCCACCAGGTGTTGATCGACATTTTAATTTGTTTTAATTTTTAAAATAGTTTTTAAGATTAATCTCTTTAAAATCACTAAAAAGTTCAATCCTAAATCAAAATATCAACTTTAGCCTGCCATTATGGAAAAAGTTAAGATGCCAAAATTTAAATTTTTTGTTCTTTTAAAAGTATCCATAGTAAACTTGTTATCTTACAATAAATGAAGTATAAAACCAACTTGTTCAAAAGTTATTAGCTGTTAAAAATGATGAAAAAAACCTTTTTTTTTTATAGAGTGAAATTGCACTACTTAAATAGCATTTTCTCAAGAACCATATTAGATATTGATCTGAAATTTTCAAAACATGCTTTTCTCATATATATGTACAAAATCAAAAAACTTCAATAAAATATGAGGTGGTCCTTGAGGGACCTTTGCTCTACTTGGCAAGGAATGACCTTTATACAAGTTTCCATAATGCAACTTTCTTTTTGAAACTTGGCATTATGGATAAATGTCAGTTTATCCATAATGCATCCATAATTACAATTGTTATGATTATTTTTATAATTTCCGTCAAAGTTATAAATTTTACTATAATTACTTACCATGGTTTTTATCATTAGTTATAACTCTTATTAAATATCATAATATAATTATTATTTGTAATGTTTTTTTATTCATATTATTATTTTTTTATTATTATTATATTATCATTATTTATTAGCGTAAAACATAATATATTTATTACATATCAAGTGTTAACTTCAGATTAGTTTATCTTAATGCATACCACATTAAGATAAATTAATCTGAAGTTAACACTTGATATGTAACAAATATATTATGTTTTACGCTAATAAATAATGATAATATAATAATAATAAAAAAATAATAATATGAATAAAAAAACATTACAAATATATTTTTATACCCAATACATAATTTGATCTGAAAGATACATCTGATATATCAGCATCAATATATAATAATAAGAATATAATTTTTTTAAATTCATTTATTGCCAGTTATTCAATAGAATGTTTATTAAAGGTAATTAAGCAGAAATATTGTTATTTGTTTCTTTGTAAAAAAAGTTGTTTGTTGTTTTGTAAGTAGTATTTTAACAATCTAAAAATCTAAAAAACCTGTTTTGATCTTAAATTTTGATCTTACATTTTTATGCATATTTTTATGTTGTTGAGTCAATTTTAAAGACAAGAAAGATGTAGCAACTGTATTTATTAATTTTGGGTTAGTGAATGTTTTACTCCAATGAACGCCAACACAACACATAAAAAGAATCAGCTAAAATATAACTTTATCCATATTATACCTTTGTTTTGGATGATCTAACTTAGCTTCTGGGTTAGGAAATGCATATCCTATCATACCACGTGGAGATAATCCAAGAGCGATTGATGGAGCTTTTAAAGCAGGCCTCTCCGCATCTCGAATAGTATGATGAATTATTGTTTTATCTTTCGAACATGACAACATTACATCTGGATCACGTTGCCAAACAAACCCTTAAAACCAAATCAATTTAAATTCATTTTAAAAAGTGTGTATATATATATATATATATATATATATATATATATATATATATATATATATATATATATATATATATATATATATATATATATATATATATATATATATATATATATAATGCCTAATTAAATTAGGTTAACTGAAATTGAAAATAATAGAAATTATTTGATAATTAAATGATCAATACCAGTTGCAACATCTTTGTGCTCTTGGAATGCTGCAAATGGAACATATGGTCTTCGAATATCCCATATATTTATGTTGTTATCCAATATCAATGCACAACTAAATGGTAACGCAGCCAATAACTTGAAATATTTCATTATAACTTTACATTATAAATATTAACTTTATTTTAGAAAACTAAATACTAGAACAAACCTTGATATATGGTACTTATAGTTTGGTCGCCATTTGATTCTTGCAACTGATGCAATTGTTTCGATTGTATGTATTGGATGATTGCACGCTTGTGTATCCCAAATTTTTATTAAACTGTCTCTTCCACCGGTTGCAAGCCAATGTTTTTCTTCTAAATGCCAATCTAATGCAAAAACAGGCCCTGAATGACCAGTAAACTGAGCATAGTAATGGTCATGTTTGCGCATATCCCAAAGCTGAAAAAAAATTACTGACAATATATAATTAATTACTAATATATTTTATATTATCTCTTTGTATTTATAAGATATTATAAAAGATACACACTGTATGAGAGAATAAGTGATTGACCCAGATAAAGGTTTGCTTAATTTATATTTTATCCAAAAAATATTTCTATATTTCAGTTTTCAACAATACTTTTTTTATTTTAAAAATTTTTTATTAGTTTGAATAAGTTTATGAACCACTAAAAGTAAAATAAATTTGGAATCTTATGTAAACATTTTTAAATAAGATTTTCAAATACTATCAATTAAAAAGTTTATAAACTTTATATTAGTTTTTATTTTACTTTGTTTGCAAATTAATGTGGTTGTAATTGTAGAACTTCAACAATCAATAGGCTTGAGATTTAATTAAAATAAAACAAATTATTCTCAACTGTACTGACTCTTGTGGAACAACTAGTGGAAGTGGAATCACTTTTAACTAATCTAATACCACATTAACTTGCAAACAAAATAAAATTTAAACTAATATGAAGTTTAAAATCCTCCTTTTTCATTAATACTAATTTTTCATTGGCTGGCATAGATTTAAACCCACATTAAATTGTTTCCTGCCTTGAATGATAAACACTGGATCATTTTCACTCCTGTGTTGTTTCTCATCTATATTAATAATCTTCATCTTAGATGAGACAACCATATACTTTAGTCAAAAAGGTTATAAGATTTTAATTTCTTAAAAAAAGAAGTTGATCTTGAATGTGATTTCCTAACTAAAAATTACAATGTCATTTTGAATTTTATCCTAAAGAGAAAAGATATCATTAGAAGAACCAGCACAAATATGACAACAAGAAAGCATGGTACTCCCATTTTCTTGCTCCTCAATCTATTCTTATAAATCTCTTATATATACTTGTATAAAATACTGTTGTCATATTTGTGCTGGTTATTCTAATGATACCTTTTCTCTTTAGAACAAGATTCAAAAAGACATTGTAAGTTTTAGTTAGGCCTGCTCTAGCTACCAAGCTCTAGCCTCTATCCAATTGTCTTAAGAATGCATCTCTTCCTCGTATTTACAAGTAATACCATATCAAGCTATTATCAACCAAAAAATAACTATTCTTTTAGGTGGAAAGTATTTCTAATAATATAATTCATATAATGAACTTGTTAACTTTAAGTGTACATGTGGTGGTGGTGTAGAAAATTTGGAAAAAATTCCAAGTTTGATTACCATACATCACATGTTTCTCAGAGTATCAGTGTAACTCTTATTTTATACCTTTCCCAAAATTACGTAATTAGTTAAATAGCTCATTCGTAGTTGTTAAAATCAATATTATAATAACTTGTAAACTAAACCCATATTTAGACCAAAATTTTGTTATGCATTTTTATTTAATTTAAATGATAAAATATGGTGTCTTGAAAAATATTACAAAATTTATTCTGACAATGTACGCAGAAAATATTTAATAGACTTCAATCGTTATACTTGTAAAATGATACTTTTTAACTGTGTTTTAAAAGATTTTTAAAAAACTATTTTTATCAATAAAACCATATCTGTTAGTCTGTTAGTTTGTACAATATAATTAGGAAACTGCTTTATAAAAATTATTTATTTTATTTTGGAATTAACGCATGCATCAAACTTTGGTCTTCTTGGTTCTGAGCCAGAACACAAACCACTGCACCACAACTGCAGTAGGTTTAAGTGTGTAAATATTTATGTCTAAGCTAACATTGTCCCAGTTTTTATGTAGGAAAGCAAAGCGCTAAACTAATTAAAATTAAAATTCTCATTACGTTCTCTTACAGAAAAAACCGAGTAAGCCTAAATATAATTTAACATCTAACTATTAGTGTACACCAAAGGTTTTGTATTTCACATATGCTGTGATTCGCCTCTTATATTCTTTAAAAGCAATGTCTGCTATTGACGATGTATGGCATAAACATTTTAAAATAATTTTTATGCTCTCTGGGTTAATTGCAGTGTTATTGAATGCGTTTGTGCTTTTACTGGTTACATAATGTTACTTTTACTGTTACATGCTTTTACTGGTTACATAACGTTAACATAAAGTTACATAACTTTTGGAAATTTAAATTATTAAATTTATAGAAGTTAATAAGGATTAGTTAGGAAAGATTAATATGCTGATATAAAATTAAAAAAATCCCGGAGTCCTAGAGTCCCAACCATTTGGACAGAACTCCAGACTGATTTTTTGCAAGTCTTCTGTCAACTGTTTTCTTGCTCTCAACACTACTTTTTTTGCTAGTGGTTGTGGTTGCTAGCAGTCTTGCTGGCAGTGAATTTTATAAAAAAATTAAAAGACAAAAAAAGGCTAGTCATCTTTTTAATCTATTCTTTTGAAACTTATTTTTTTTCTTTGGTTGTAAAAAAGTTTTAACAGATTCTAATGGCATTTTTGCAAATAATAAATTATTTACGTATTGTTACATTTTATATTGTTTTTTAATCACTTAAAGAAAACAGATCTTAATATTTAAATTTTGTATGTATGTATGTATGTATTATGTATGTATGTATGTATGTATGTATGTATGTATGTATGTATGTATGTATGTATGTGTGTATGTATGTATGCGGTGAGATCTGTTGCAAGGACACGCCCCTGATGAGTGGCGTTAGTGCAGGTCTCGGGCTCTCCGAAACGTCATTGGTGATCGCAGTGCATTCCTGAGGAGGGGGATCACCATTTATCCACTACTTTATTCTAATTGGTTATTATAGTACCAACATTTTTTTATCTCTTACACCCATGAATTTTAGCGCTTTGTGAGCTTTTTTTATGAATTTGTTACATTAATGACATTTATATATTTTTATGTTACACAGGTGATTATCAGTTCTCAATTTTTTATCTAGAGTTTAGAACATATATAGTACCACATTTATTAGACATTTGTATGGTGCGATTATTTTAGTTATGAATACCATTATAAACCAGCAGATTTTTATTGACTTGTTTGCTTATAGATAATTGTTTTATCATTTGCTTAAAGATGACTAGAGTGTGAGTTTTGGTTCCTCTTTTCCTAAGTTGCTAACTTTTACTCCTCCTACTAAATATTCTTTACATTAATTTATGTTTTTTTACCTAAATGACATCGTCTTCAATCTGTTTTTATTTTCACATCTACCAGGTCTACGTAACTAGACGGCTCCGTTGGTCACTTTTTGTGATCATTGTGTCGCATAAGCAAAAAAAATTTATTCTCTGTGGCTGGTGAGCCCCTACTTTTTCCAATGTACACCACAACAACAAAACGGACATTAGGCTATCCCGCTGAATGTGGTTACGGTGCTTAATAACCTAATGACTACGCTGACACTCACGCATTTTTGCTTTGTGCATTGTGAAGCAATGCTTCACAATGCACAAAGCTCCACAATGCACGTCAGATCAGCGCTTGCTGACTATGTGCTCGGATCTGAAATCTCACTTCATAGCACATCATTCAACACCAGCACAGGGCAGTAGCTCTTTTGGTTAAGAGTGATGGCTTGTGGCCTACGGTGACTAATGTGTGCATTCGATCAATTGAAATCCATTCTGTAGGTCTCACGTCTGGCTCTGATGTGCTAGCCCATAAGCGCAAGAAGTGAGTGTGTTTAGCTTTCTATTCACCCGATTTGAAAGTGAACGGAAACATAACAAGACCATACTAGACGACAAAATGGTACATACTAATGCACTACACCATCACACCTGCAGACATCAACAGCCTCTAAAATCAATATATCAAACATTTGTTCTTTGTTACATATTATCTACACACAGAGTGACTAGAGTGCTAGTTGGTTTTCCCACTACACCCACTTCCCCCTCCCCCCCCCCAAGTATTTAACTTCTTCACCTTCACAAAAGTCCTATCACTCATTTTATACTTTCTTATGATTTTTATTTTTTATTCAATGACACCATCTTCTAACTGTTTTTATTATCACATCTCTCAGGTCTAGGAAACTGGACGGGTCCGTTAGTCACTTTTTGCGATCATTGTGTTGCACAAACAAAGAATTTTAACAGATTCTAATGGTATTTTTCCAAATAATAAATTATTTACGTATTGTTACATTTTATATTGTTTTTTAATCACCTAAAGAAAACAGATCTTAATATTTAAATTTAACTAATTAGTAGTTGTTAGTTGAAACATTTATTATTTTGTATTAATAAGATGGTTTATTAATTTAAAAAAAATACATACACATATATAAAATACACACACACACACATATATACAACCCTATGAATTAGGAAAAATAAGGTCGACAATAATTTGTCTCAATCTTTTGAGGTCGGCAAAAAAAAATTGATACAAAGGTTATACCATAAAAGATAGAAAAGAGGTTGACAATTTTTTGACCACCTCAAACACTTTTAGGTCGGCAGTTAGGTCAGCATTGCCGAATGCCGACCCTAATTCCAAGGGTTGTATATATATATATATATATATATATATATATATATATATATATATATATATATATATATATATATATATATATATATATATATATATTTATATATATATATTTATATATATATATTTATATATATATATTTATATATATATATTTATATATATATATTTATATATATATATTTATATATATATATTTATATATATATATTTATATATATATATTTATATATATATATTTATATATATATATTTATATATATATATTTATATATAGCAGCCCCAGCATCAGACCTGGCCTAACCATAGTTTCATCAAACCCAGCCATATTAAATATAAGCTATGGTTATTTACTAGTATAAAAGAGATTTAAGATTAAATATAAATATACTAAAACAGGCCTTGGCGGAAATAAATGAGCATGAGAGCTGAGAAAAGCTCTCCTAAAACAAACTTGGGGAGCTGTGCAAGCTGCTCCTTATTTAAATCGTGCTTTAAATTGTAATAATTGTGCTTAAGCGAGCTGCTCCTTATTTAAATTATGTTAGCAGGCCTCAGTGGGAAGCGAGAGCTAAAGCTGTCGCTTCCCACTGAGGCCTGCTAACATAACAATAAAACACACCAGAAAGATCTTCAAAATTTACATCAGTAAACTATACTGCATCTTAATTCTACTAATTTATACTTAACCTTAAATAAAAAAAATTTTGATGAAATAAAAAATAAAATAAAAAAACCACCTGAACATTTCCACTTTCACCAGCTGCACAAAATATATGCTTATCTGTTCTATGAAACTACAAAAAAATTTATTAGACTTGTACCATGTATGCATAAATATGACATAGTAACAGTAATACCAATAAAACAAATATAAACTTTGTTCTTTGAAAATACCTGGACATCCCTGATACTGTCTGCTTTGCCACAAAAAGAAACAGAAATATCTTTCCGACGTATATCCTATAAAAGAAAACATTTAGATTAGAAGTTTTTCAAGATAAAGGCCTAAAATTTTTTCAAAATGATTTCCTTTTAACATTACTAGTAATATATTTGCATGTATGTATGTATGTATGTATGTATGTATGTATGTATGTATGTATGTATGTATGTATGTATGTATGTATGTATGTATGTATGTATGTATGCATGCATGCATGCATGCATGCATGTATGTATGTATGTATGAGGGTATGTATATGTATACATGTGTTTATTCTTTTGAATTATTGTTACCAGCATCATTAGCTATAATATAATAATTAAAAATTATGATGGTGAACTAAATTATGATAAATATAATAAACTTTATTAAATTATGTAACTATAATGTAAACTAAATTTCCAAAATAAAGTTTGATGTTAGCATTAGAATGGCTTATTTTACATAAAAATGCAAAAAATAGTCTAAAATTTTTTTTTAATGTATTTTTACCACTGTATATAATGGTGCATATTTTTGTATCTCAAAAGCTTTGCAAACTTTTCTATCAAATTTATTATATTCTTCTTGTATTATTTTTAAACCAATTAATTTCTTCTTTGTAGTTTTCTTTTATGAGTAGCTATACTGATGATACATTAAATATTTTTGATGCTGCTGAGTTCTCATTCTGATTTGTAATTTTGTTTCACCAAGACTTTGAAGACATCATAGTAATTTAAACAATTTCTTGATAATAATTTAAACAAATGTGGTAGCTTTGATTCCTTTCTTGATTTTATTAATGCCTCTAAATTATGACTAACTTTTCAGAATATTTTCCTACCTTTTTGGGGATAATGGTATCATAGGTAAAGAGCATCTAGAAAATGCATTTAAACTTATTGGTATTTAACTTTTTTTTAACTTGGGCTTCGGTTCATGTTAATCGATCAATTTATTCTTACTTGGTTACTTGGTTAGCAATGATTTCAAGCTGATTTTTATTGAACCCATTTTCACTGAACATGTAAATTAAAAAATCATTCTTATCTTTAAGACCTGACACATGTTGTAAACTTGATAAATATAAACTTTGACCATTGCTTTTAAAATTTCTAAATCAAAAATGCTATTATCGATATTCGAATATCGATAATAGCATTTTTTCTTTAAACTTTAAAATTGTATTACATTTTGTGTAGTTAATTATGATGACATTAAGAAAATTTAGCATTTTAAATACATTTTAAATACTTTAATTGTATATTTTAATGATGGATGTTGTTTGTTAAGTATATATTGGAATTGTTTTGCATGTTATAAATTAGAAAATCATGAATCATCGAAGCATGAATAACATTGAATCATGAATAACGTTAAAGCATGAATAACTTTGAAATATATATATATATATATATATATATATATATATATATATATGCAGTGGTAGAGCGCTCGTTTCATAAACGAGTGGTTCCAGGTTCAATCCCCACCACGTCCCTGGTAGTACCGCGCTCAACTCGTTTCTCCGCGCAGCGGCCTTGTTCGTCAAGGTTCGTGTTTCGGAGTTATAGAGTTGAGAGAGGGTTATAGCCACAAAATAAGTAGCCTCCTTGTCTGTAGTGGCCTTCTCGGCCTTGAGGAGGTGAATTAAAATAAAAAAATATATATATATATATATAGCCTGGGAAAAAATTTGAAAGATTTCAGGTTGGCACAAGAAAAAAAAATTCATTTGAATTTTTTGCTTTCAGTTACAAAAAGGGTAATGAATCATTGATTATGAAAACATTGTTTTACACTATTATTTTAAAAAACAGCTTTAGACAATGATATTTAAAAAAAAATGTAGCAACTAAACTTTACGGAAGCATGTAGCAAATTTACAAATTAGCTATTTTTTGGTTTTGAAGTTGTTTATAAAACAAAAAATTTAACTAATAAAATGATTTAATATTAAATTTAACTCAATTTTATTTTTAGTCGCAGCTCCTCGCTTACAGCTTTTTTCCATTCACATTCATTTAAATAAAAAGTTGTTAATTTTGAATGACACACAATAAGATCACTCAAATTTTACTGATTCCTCTTCTTTTACTAAACAATGGACTAAAGAAAGCATAAGGCATTTAAATGATTGAGTATCACTCAATACACCTTACTTTCATAATGAACCATAACTATTCGCACATTTTAAATGGCAGGAATAGTTCAAATGTATTCAGAAGATGTGATTTTCAAAAACAACCAATAGTTTTATTATGTTGTCTGCAAAATAATTAATGAATGTTTTTTTATAAGCTACAGCATCTTCTCTTTCATGCCCATTAACAAACAAACAAGTTTTGTTATTCAACCAAAAAAATTCCTAATAAAAGAATAAGTTTTTAATTGCTTTATAGCTTACACTATATTGTGATTTTTTGCCTTCTTTTGGTTTAATTGTTTCCGTCAGAGAATCTTTTAACTTTGGCCCCTCTAAAAATGCATTAACTTCTTTTAAGATGATACCAATGCAAAATCAACTGTTTTTTAACTTTATCAATACACAATGGGGCCGAACAAAGGAAAAATGGCCAAAAATCCAAAAATCTGCCAATCCATTTGAAATTTTGCACAATTATAAAAAAGAGTATTCTAAATTGAATGAAAAAATAATTAAATGTTTTTTGAAAATTTTTTGACTATTTCTTTCGAAATAGAGTCTGATAAGAATTTCTTTAGCAATAAATTGACATTCAGTGATTTTTTTTTACTTTTTACTATATTATTTAAGTATATATTTATAGCTTATAAAAAAACTTATGGAAAAAAAAAGTAAAACATGCATATTTATAAAAGGGATCGCGGTAACAGAGGGGAGTGGTGAGGAGTGAAAGGCTGAGTGCCCCCCCCCCACAACTTTTTCCAAATTTTTAAAATAAAGTGTAAAACATTATATGAAAATATGAATAAGTTTTTTATACAAAAGATAAAAACTCATGCTGCCATCTATGTTGCAAGCAAATAACAGAGAAAAGTTATTGTACGAATTATTTTGTTCAATTTTATTGATACTCGATTCGAAAAAATCATAACATCATCTTATTGATATATTTCAGAATCTACATTTGTTTCATACATGTGACTGTTTTCAAAATCATCTATATCATTTTCACTGTTAGAATCATCATCACAGTTTTCATTATAAATATTTATATTTAAGATTAATAGTTCTCTTACTTCGGATGGTTTCTTATGTTTCTTGTACTTTTGAATTCTTTGTTGTAATCTTGAACTTGAAAGAATTGGATCTGAAGTCTCCATTGCAAGTGTGAACACATCAAAGAAGTTGTGTTGGCGACTATCTTTTCGAGCATGATTGATTCTATCTGATCTAAAAATTTTATTTCTACTTTCTGAAGCTTCTTCAGATAACATGCCAACAGGTACAATTAAATTTGATATGATTTGTGAGCCATGTATCAAAAGTTTATGTAATGTGGGAGTCATAGGAAATTTTTTATACAATTTAACATACTGAGATGCTGTTGAGAAGCAATAGTCTTTAAATTAAATTTGACTGGGTCAATTGGAAATCGATAAGAAATACACAACAAAAGTATTCTTAATCTTTGAATAAGCTCCAAGTCGATGTCTAAAATTTCAGACAAGAGCTTCGGATCTTCGAATGCTCTTTTTGCAACGTTTCCTGTATTACTATTGCCACCGCTTGATTTTAGCATGTCTATATGAATGTTAAGTTTGTTTTTAAATTGGCTTTGAATTTCAATCTTCCTTGCTTTTATTATTGCTTCGTTTTCTTTTCCATTTTTTTAAGTACAAACTAATCTGTTCAGATGCAGTTACAAATAAGATTTAAAATTAGCATTTAAAATTTTCAAAAATTTAAAACTTGATTTTTATATTTTTGGACATTTTTTCCTTTGTTAGGCCCCATTGTGCAATGATGAAAGCATAAATATATTATCATTTTAATTCTGATTATTAATATGTAAAAAAAAATGGAGTTATAATTAATATTACATGAAATTAAATTACCCAAAACTTATAATCCCAGAAACAGATAAACTTTTTTTTGTTTGTGTGTACAAACTTTAAAACAAATTTTTTTCAATACAAATTACAAATTGTTTGAGAAAAAAAAATTGTGGCAGCTATTAAAAAAAAAATTCTAAGAAGATAAAAGGAAAAAAATGTGTGTATGTTTTTTCTATTTTATATACGCCCATAACTAAATCTGCATATTGGTAGTTGTTGTTAAAAAAACGTTTGTTAAAATCAAAATACTATAATTTAAACAAAATATTTTTTAAATATAGTACGATGTGCCTTTTTGTTTAATTTGTTTATCAAAATGCATTTAACTATTTCTATGGTGTGTGTGTGTGTATATATATATATATATATATATATATATATATATATATATATATATATATATATATATATATATATATATATATATACAAACACGCATATGTTTTGTGAATCATTTTCCTGGCAACTCTAATCATTTACCTTTACTCCTTGATTTATGTCTTGTCTCTAACCTTAGCTTGTGTTTGATTTCTTCTTTTTCTCCTATAGATGGTTCTGACCATGCAATGATCTCTATAAATCTTATATCTCGTAATTCTTCTTTGGACTCACCCTACCATTGCACTACTTACTACTACCCTAAAGCTGACTGAGATACTTTTCGTGATTTTTTTTTGACAGTCTCAGCTATGTCGCATCCTTTTACTGTAACTTTTCATTTTATTATATTATTAATATAACAAAAAATATTGTTTTATAACATAAAATGTTTTTTTTTTTTTAAATAATACTTAACTGTTACTTAAAAAAACTGTTTGTTTTATATAAGATGAACTTATAATTTTTAAAATAAAAAATAGCGGATTTTCGCCCATTAAATAGAAACCAACTCTTTTCTTTCTAGTTTATCTTAAATAAGTTTTAGTAGGTATTGTATTAAGTTATATCCAAGTAATAACTATTATTATCAAAATTAAAATATGTTAAAATCTAGATAAATTGATAAATAATAGAAATATTAGTTAGCAACAGTTTTATCATAGGCATAATTTCTATCGTGTCACAATAAAAACAACTGATCTTTACAACAGTTGATGTCAGGAAGAATGGTTCTGACTAACTATGACAAATAGCATAAATATATTTTTACATACTTTATTTTAAATATAAAACATTATTTTTGCTGTTGTTATTTATATATATTATTTTAAAATATGCACACAAAAATATAAATATAGTTGATTTTTACTTCTTCAAACTTTAAAGGAATTTAAAAAAAAAAAAACAGTTTTTAGTTGAATAAATAGGTAAAACTTTATAAAAACTATTATTTGAAACTTTCCTTATTGAGCTAAAAAATTACCCAGAAACCACTAAAGATTACTGTTGAATTTCTAGGGATGAAATTCAATAGTAATCTAAAATTCTAGAAGATTTCAATTAAGTTTAATAAAATGTCAGCTATGTCTGTGATAATATAAAAAAAAAATTACAAAACAGTTCATGTTTCCATCCTGTGAACAGCTCATAAGTAATGTTGGATCAGTTGGATGAAAGCAGATTTTATTGACAAAGCGATAATGCTGCTGAAATATATGATCTATAAAAATATATGATCTATAAAAAACAAATAATTATAATCAACATCAAATCATGAAAAAGAATTACTATAATTACTATATTATTATAAAATATTAATAATATTTTAAAATATTTTTCAATTAAAATTTTCTATGGATTTCAGCAAGTGAAATCCATAAAAGTTGAATTTAAACAAGTCTGTCACTCTTTTTAGTTAGTTGAGTTTTAAAATCTTAGACTTATTGCTAGTTTAAACAAGTTTCCATTATGTCATTTTTTACAACAGGATGCCTGTTTTTTACAACTTGTTTTGCTGATCAGAAATAAATATTTTTGAGATACTACCACTATGTTGATTACTACCCAGGTTACTAGGTTTATGACCTAGCGGGTATTTTCATTTGATTTGTGACTAGGCTGCGTCATAGCACGCATTATTTGTTGACTGTTACACCAAATTGTTTTAATTATAGTTATGTACAAAAGTATTATACTCTTCAGACCATTCAAAAAGATTAAAAAAATAACCAGCTCAGGTATATCTTGCACTTTTAAGGTAACTTTAGAAGTTGCTATTGATAGATATAGCACAAAGAACCCTAAACTTATTAAAAAATATATCTTCACAACCTGAACTTTAATGACTTTATCTTATGGATTAACTTTAATGGGAATGTCAACTATATGCTTACCTTTTTTATTGCACATTTCAATGCTAATCTTAAGGTACTAGTTAAAATACAATGGCAAAACACCAACAAAATTTAAAATCTCAGAAAAAGATTCAGTGAAAGGTTACGCTTTCTCAATGAAAAGCTGTTTGACACTGATTCACTTATGCATCTAGGCACCGGTAAACCATCACCAGTGCCTAGTTGCACCGGTGATGATTCATCTCCACTTTGTAAGAAAAAGTAATGTAAATGAAAACAACCAAACCATTCTCTACAAAAAAATATGCAGAAAATGAATCTTTTCACATGAAACTGTTTGCTTAAATTAGACAAGTCCTTACAAGCGAAAAAGATTATCCTAACAGAACTTGCTAAAATTTTCATATTATTTGACGGTAGCAGTGTACATAGTAAATGGCTATTTTTGAAAGTATGTATAAATAATGAGAAGTTCGCAATCATTTGCTATACAAACGATTAATTAAATGAGGAAAATTTTTTTATCATAACCTACCACTTCATATTTTAAGTATCAAATGCACTAATTATTTTCTTAAATAAAAAAAACCAAACAATAAAAAAAAGTAACCAAATAGGCCAAATATGGAATTGTCACAGAATATTCATGACATCTCTAATAATTAGCTCCATGTCTTGTTATGATGCAATTTACAGGGGGCAAAAACATAAAAAAAAGAAATGGTTTAGTAGAGGGAGAGAGAGAGAGAGAGAGAGAGAGAGGGAGGGAAAGAGGGAGGGAGGGAGGGAGGGAGGGAGGGAGGGAGATAGATAGACAGATAGATAGGAAAACAACTTTATACATAACATAATAATCTTTTGTTTGCTTTATCACAATTTAGTTTTTTTTTTTTTTACTTATTTAATAAACTATTTTTAATAAAAGTTATATAATTTTTCAGATTTTATCAGTTGTATAACAATTCAGTTGAATCTTCCACCAAAACAATTTAGTTGAAACTTCCACAAAAACTATGTTTTGAAGCCAAATGTTTAAATAATTAGTTAAAGTTTAAGTTAACCCTAATTTTAACATTTAAAAAAATTTTATTCATAAAAAAAAAATATATATATAGCAAAGTTAACAATCTTGTTATGGCATCAATAATAATTCAACTTTATCTGGCCTATATATAATCAGTGCTGGGTGATATGGCAACTTGGTCTGCAACTCTGTTACATATGGGTTTTACATTTGGTAACAGTGTTGCAAAGGTGCTTTTAACTAGAAAATTTAGTAGTGAACTGAGATTGCTACTAAAAAAATCCAAAGCAATACTCAGCTACTATTTAAATTTGAAAAAAATTTTAAAATTACAAAAGCATTGAATATCACAAGTTTAAAAAACCAATAATACGTTATGTAACAGAGATATGTAGAATTAACTAAAAAGTTTCTTATTTATTATTTTTAAAAATTTATGAATTAGGGATTGGAGAGGGGAATTGATTTTGTAATAAATAATAGGTTTAAAAAAAAAAAAATTTTTTTAGCTAGGCGGGATTGCAGTTTTTGAAAAGATAAAATTGTTCATTTATGCATAAATGCAAGGAGGGTCAAAATTTTTAAATTATTAAAATATGAAACTATTTAGATTTTTTTATATATATTACCATATGCTGTGAAACGTGAATAATTTTTTTTTCTAAAAAAAATAAATTTTCACTGGGAAAAGGGTCTTTTAAGATTGAAAAAAAAAGTTAAAATATAATAAATGATAAATTTTTTAAATAATTAGGACTTTCATTAGAATTTTTACATTAGAAATTTTCAGACTTTATTTTTTTGAATGACGTCTTTATAGTTCATACAAAATGACTATAATTGAAAGTGTATCGTAATAATGATGTCGTTATTTTACTTGGGGGTTGAAGTGTAAGTTGTTTCAGACTATTTCGGCTTTGTAATTATGCCTTTATGAGTTCATCGTGGTTTAAATATAAAAAGAATTTGTTTTTTTATTTGCAATCATCTAAATGGAAATTCTAATAAAGATATTAAATTAACTATAACTACTTAAAAAAACACAAGACTCTCTATGGAAACAAAGTTATCAACTTATTTAGGCGGAAGTAAGGATCTTATTCTGTCAGAAGTGTCAACTTTAAGAGATATTTTGAGAAAAGGTCTGCTTATCTAAGAAGCTTTACTCCAAGAAGAAGATGTTAACAGTTAATAATCAAGAAACTCAAAATTTATGAAACAAATTATACATTTAGCATTATATTTAATATTTTTGTTTTTAGAGGGAATATTTTAGTGAGAGACTTTTCTTGACAACTAGCTGATATTGTTCTTCAGCAGTGGATGAAAGTAAATGCTCTTTTTAAACCTCCAGTGGTTATTGGAAAGAAAACTTTAATGTAGAAAATTTAATTTTCCTAGAACAAGATTAAAGATATAGCACATGGGAAAGCTTTTAAGGCACACATGTCTTCTTCATAGTGTTTATGTTAGGCGGTTTACGCTTCATTTAATCTAAACGTTTTACTTGATTATTTTATCTAAATTTTAATAACTATTGCTTCATGCCTGAGTAGTTTGTTACCTTTGTAACATAATAATTTATTATGTTATGTACAGTATATAGAAGGTTTTGCTTTATAATCTGATAAAAAAAAGAAAGTAATAGCAGTATTTTTAATCTAAAAATAATGGTTAAAGAACTGTCAAAAGTAAATAAAAGATAGATAAACAACCTTTCAATAAAAATAAAAGGTGGCTGAATAACCTTGTTAAAAAAATTAAAGATTATTGTACAACCAATATATTAGAAATATCAAATACAAAAATATTAGAAACAAAAGGTAACTGGCCTTATTAAATTTACTATTTCTATTCTGATATTTAAAATACACAACTTTGATACAAATATGATCAAAATACCTTGTTTTTGTTCTTTATTCAAATCCCATAGAATGACAACACCATTTCCAGCAGCTGATGCTATGATGTTATCTATATTTTTTATAAAAATCAAAATATAGTTTTTTATGCAAACAAGTGTTAAACTAGAATTTTTAAATACATGTACAAACCTTCCATTGGGTGCCATTGTAGATCTGAAATGCTATGATTTAACTTGCGTGGGCCAGCCACTAGATTCAACTTTTCGACAAATCGTTTTTCTTCAATACTAAAAATCTTCAATACTAAAAAGTTAACATGATGCTTATAAAAACTTTTAATGAATTGCATATATTTATTTATTTATTTTTTAAATCTTGATACAAATTTAGTTTGTTATTTATTTTATATAAACTTACAATTGCTACCACCAACAGCACATTGTGTTCCCTCTTTATTTTTGCATATTGCTTTTGCTGAACAAGGTAATGTTTGTTGGAAGGTAATAGCATTAAGAGGTTGTATTCCTAAAATAAAACAAACTTAAGCATTTATACGATTTTATATTTATTTTTTTAATTTTTCTAAATAATATATATGCAAATTTGTCTAATTAAAAACCTTGTTATTAGGTGATTGTCAGGCCTCATCAGGAGTTAATGAGTGCAATAGCGGAGAAAAGCTCTCTTAAAATGAACATGGCAAGCCATGCGAGCGGCTCCACTAAACAGCTGTTTACAAAAAATTTTGCTTTTTATGTGAGCCATCTATTTTTAGTCATAAAAAATTGCTTTTTATACTAATGTTACACGCATATTCTTGTAACATGTTACAAGAATAAATACTTAAATGAAAAGATTTTTTAGACAAGTGTTTTCTTTGGGTTATTATTTATTTTATTTATTATTTATTCATTAATAACTTTGTTCATTCAATGGAAAATTTGATAAACAAAGAGCTATAAAAGTTTTTACTGCTTATAAAAAATATTTTATATTTCCTTACTGTAACATTGTAAAGAAAGTTTAAGAATTATTACAGCAGTTAAAGATTCCATTATAAAAGTGTTTATATAGTTACAATTCAAAAAAAAAGTAAAACATTCAAAAAGAATGTTTTACTTTTTCAAATCTATTTTAAAAATAATTTTCAATGATATAAACTGAATTTTAAATAATAGCTTTAATAGGAAGAAATAGCATTGACTAAGAAAAATATTTATGACAAAATATTAGCAATTTATTTTTCCATAATAGTATTTTTATTAAAACTAATTTTTTATTTAAGAAACCAACCAGTTAGTCCAATCTAGTTAAAAACATTTCCATTTCAATTTGCGCTTTTTTAAATTTTTTTTTGCTTTTTTTTGCTTTTTTTTTAATCAACTATGATTCACCATATTGTCATTAATGTTATAGTGATATTACACTGTACTTTAGGAAAAAAATCTAGTTAACCATTTGAATATTTAAAATTTAATCTCAAGCACTACGAAAAAAATTAGTGACTGTAAAGCAAAAAAAAAAAAACAATCACATTTTGTAAGCAAAAACTTTGATCTAAAACTCAAACTTTGTCTTTTTTTTTTGATGTTTGCACAAAATTTTTTAATTCTTCTTAATTTTATTCTTAATCAATATCTAAATATTGATTTAAAAAAAAAAAAAAAAAAGAAAAAAAAGTGATTTATTTTAATAAAAAAATTATACTTTTTCGAGAGCAGAAAATTGCTCCTACTGAGGCCTGATATGTTATCATTATTATGGCATGGATAACCAGAATTCAGGTAAGTTTTCAATTTATTAACTATATAAATATAAATGTAAAAATAAAATTCAGATTTTAAGACAGATTTGTTTATTTTGTTTATATTTAACAAAGGTAAAGGTTTTCTTTGTTTTTGTGTTTGTTTTTTTTGTTTATTTTTTTTTCAATGTTTTTTTACTTTATAAGAAATACTAATTTAGGTTATTCTTTCATTGCCTTGACTATACTATAGAAAACACAGAGCAGGTTCTATAGTTTATAGGACTTATTCTGACTAATAATTCTACTTTTGATAAAAGAAAAAGAAAGAGCTGTGATGTTTGAGGAGTTTGTACTCAAAGTATTATCAATGTAAATAATATTTTTGAATGTTTATGAGCATATGCTAGCAAGCAAAACATTTCTAATCATATATTTGTACATATATATATATATATATATATATATATATATATATATATATATATATATATATATATATATATATATATATATATATATATATATATATATATATATTTATATATATATATATATATATATACATATATATATATATATATATATATATATATATATATATATATATATATATATATATATATATATATATATATATATATATATATATATATATATGAATACATATATATATATATATATATATATATATATATATATATATATATTATATATATACATATATATATATATATATATATATATATATATATGTATATATATATATATATATATATATATATATATATATATATATATATATATATATATACATATAACAGTAAATATATATATATATACATATATATATATATATATATATATATATATATATATATATATATACATATATATATATATATATATATATATATATATATATATATATATATATATATATATATATATATATATATATACAGTAACAGTAAATATATATATATATATAACAGTATATATATATATATATATATATATATATATATATATATATATATATATATATGTATATATATATATATATATATATATATATATATATATATATATATATATATATATACTGTTATATCTTTATATATACTGTTATATATTTATATATATATACTGTTATATATATATATATATATATATATATATATATATATATATATATATATATATATATATATATATATACTGTTGCTTTGGATTAACAAATACCTGATTTATCTTGGTTACGAGCCATTCTCATATTTCAACCCATTTGCAATTTATCCTATAATAACGAAAATGATTTATGTAATATATTTATATATATATATATATATATATATATATATATATATATATATATATATATATATATATATATATATATATATATATATTATATATATATATATATATATATATATATATATATATATATATATATATATATATATATATATGCATATATTACATAAATCATTTTACTTATATATACAATGTATATAAAAACAAAATAAATATGTATCAAATAAAGAAAATTAATAATAGTAGTAATAGTAAATATCATTATAATAGTTATGGATAAATAATAAGCTAATGATTTATAAGAATTTATTTATAAGAATAAATATTTATTTAAATTATATATACATATATAATATTATATATGTATTATAGATATATATTATATGATATATATCATCAGTATACAAAAGAAATTCACAAGTCCATTTTTAGCAGTATGGAGTTATTTATACCACTATTTAGTATTTTAAATTTTCTATCATTCGATATACCACACAAATTTAATAAATCAATTATTAATGAGTTATTAAGATTTTTTATTTCAACTATTACACAAAAACTTATTATTTTAATTATTAAGCAAAAACCTATCTCAAATTGATGTTTTTGGACTTTGTGCATTTCCCTTGTATACCAATGATATTATATATAAATTTAGATAAATATTTATTCTTATAAAAGAATTCTTATAAATTTTATTTATTTAGCAACTTAATGCTAGTTTAATAACTTTTACAAAATAAATGTTTACTATTTAATGAGTTGATTATTTTTTAATGTTTGGAGTATCATATAAATCATTAACTTATCATTATAAATAACATTATACCCATGACTATTGTTATAAAATTTACTATTACTACTATTTATTATTAACTTTTATTAGTTTCTGTAACTTATAAAAAGTTACAGTAATGAATAAAAATTTATAATATTAAGCCTTATTACTATAAATTTTTAAAACTATAATTTACATTAATTATGTTATCTTATTATACTTTTATAACTATTTTTTTTAATATTATAATATTATTATAATAGTAAAAACTCTTATTAATGGAAAGTAAATAGCTTGTTGTTGTTGTTTTCAGATACTAATACTACTCCACCGCTATGTTGGGAGGGGGGGGTTGATAAAAACGGGCGTAGATAAAAACCGTGTATAAATTTTTTTCTCAAAAGTTTGAATTTGTTCAATTTAAATTTATTAAAATAGATTTACACAACATTGATGAGTTATTTTCATTAAGCTACTTATAATACTTGTAATATAAACTACTTGGTCGCACAGTTAGCTTATTACTCACTAGATATCAATTAGTAGACAAGTTCATACTCGGGAGTCTGAGACTAGTCAAAGTCTTTAAGGATAATGCAACTCGAAGCCTAACAACAATCTCAATTTATTTCTTTAGTACCTAATAAGAGCTTACTAAATATCAAAAAGCAGCTTTTTAAATCTATTTAATATACTTATATCGAAGACTGCAAAAAAGCTCATATTAGATACTGCAAGACCGGCGCAAAGGGAATAGGGGGGGAGAGGTCTCCGTTGCGGCAAAACCCCTCCTCCTCTAACCCCTTAACCCGAACAAGTCTAAAACTAAGTGCTAAAATAGTTATAATACATCAGTGGCAGAATAATCTGACTGATCAAAGTTTATAAAACTTTACTTTTGGCTTTAGTTTAGCAATTATAGATTTTTTACAAAAATTGTTACGTCGTGACGGCACGGCATGACATAAGTGCATGCTGAAATTAACTTAAGCTAAACTTTTTTTTTCCAACATGTCAGTGTTGTTTTAGATCTATTGCATATAGTTTTTAATGACCTTGAATTTTAAAATCTTAAATTTTGCTACTTGCCTTCGAAATAAAAATATTGGTACTCTATTTGTCACAGCATTACATGTCGCATTGTGACAATAATAATTAACTAACAATAACAACATATATTCTGAAATAAAAGCTTTTACATTTAATTTTTATGTTAATCTAAAGATAAACACTAATTAAATCATAATAACAATCATATAATCTAAATTTAACGAGGAGAACTATAATAATAGCAATAATACTATTAGATATAGTAATGACAATAACGATAACAATAGCAATAATAATCTATGATGAGTCCAAGGAGGTTTATTAAACCCCCTTGGATGAGCCTAACATTTTAAAATGTTAGGCTCATCCAAGGGGGTTTAATAAACCTCCTTGGATGTAAATTTACATAAAGTATTTTATAACAAATAGTTTAAAAGACAGTTTTTAAATTGTGCAATAGAGTTAAGTGATTGAAGATGAAGAGGTAAATTATTCCACAATTTTATGCATTGGTTTGAGATTGTCACCGTATTTTATCGAACAATGGTTTAGGATAGATAATTTAGAATTACTAAAAGATCGAAGATAATAGTGAGAGCTTTTTTTTAGTGGTGATAAAGTTGGAGAATGACGGACGGAGGTTTACTTGTTTATGATTCCAGACAAATAGACAACTTAATAAATAAACTAGATCACAAAATTTGAATATTTTTGATAGATAGCAAAGAATGTCATTAGGCAGTTTTGTACCATAAGCAGCGCCGGATTAAGACTTCTTGGGGCCCGGGGCTATTTTTGGAGGCCTTTTTATGGGCCAGAGCCTAAAAATGAAAAAAAAAAAGGTCCTCTAAAATTTTTTGGGGCCCCTAAATTTGCGGGGCCTGGGCCTATAGCCCCTTCTAGCCCCCCTTGATCCGGCACTGACCATAAGTAGCTATGATAAGTGCAGCCAGAAAGCTGATTACAAAACAAAGCACAGTTTCTGAATTTTTTATTATTAAATTCACTTTGACACATACAAAGTAATTAAAATATAGAAAAAAAAGCAGATTTTAACTTTCTTATATTAATGAGAAGATTAAAATATTAAACTCATATTTTTTCAATGATAGCTGTAGGCTATAAATATAATTTCTATAAGAACAATATAATTTCTAATATGAATATAGTTTCTACATATAAATATAATTCCTACATATAACTATATAGTTCCTATATATATAACTATTTAACTCCTAGAAGAGAAAAAATAGAACTTTTTATTAACATATTTTATGATGAATATTGGCTTGAATTACTTCTTTCATTTTTTATGAGACAAGCGAGGAATTGTTCTGCTTTTTGTATAAAAAAAAACTAAATGTAAAAAAAAAAACAAATAAAGGGAATAGTCGTTCAATTTATTTATTGTTATACAGAAATTGTATATAAGACCGATGCAATGGGATATTTTTATAAGGAATGTTATTCTATTTGGGCTATTCAGCGCTGCTAAGTATTTGGGAAGTGCGCTAAAATACCCTTAGTCACTTCTTGTGTCTTATTTAAGCCATCGCGTAGATGCAACGTCTCTTAAAAAAAAAAGACAAAGCTGTTGTATTTTTTTTTTTTTTTTTTTAAGTTGATTAAGTTGCCCCAAGAAGTCCTTACGGTCTTATCACAGAGCACCGCGGAAGAACATTTAATAGGAAGTTCACGCCGCCTTCCCAACCGATGTCGCAAAACTTGTCCAGAGGTGAGGTTCGAACCAAGGATCTTACGTTTCTGAGACAAGTGCGCTACCATTGCGCCACGGCTGCTCTATTTATAAATATATTATTATCGAATATCCAATAATACGTATTAATACGTTTATAAAGATATAGGTAATAGTAACTTCAAAATCAAAATCTTTTTTTCAATGATTTTTCAACTGAGTTCTTAATGTAAGCTTTAAATAAGCTCTAAGAAAAACGGATTTCTGTAAAACACTAAAAAAAATTTGGTATAGCAGATTCTAATATTATTACTTTGTTAGGGATGTTTTTTCTAAAATACATATTCATACATTTTAGTATCTTTTGTGAACAATATTATGAGTTTAAGTTTATTAGAAAACTACTATATAAAAACTGTTTAGATAAAAAAAAAATTTAAACATTTTCGCTTTCAACAAGGCTGCAAGCAACCACTAGTTAGAGTTGGAAGTTACTGGAAGCGAAAAGATGAAGATTGCAGAGCAAGATAACGATTGACAGACAAAGTAAAAGATTGCAAGTTATATGAATCAGGAAAGCAAGATGAAGGAAGCGAATTCCAAAGAACTGATGTTCGAAGAAAAAAACTAGACGAATAAGAGTTTTTGGAGCACTTAGGAACAGTCACAGAAAAAAGATGAGACTTAATTGAATGACGAGTAACACGAGAACAAATTTTAGTAGATGGCAATAGAGACATTAGTTCAAAAGAGCAGTGCCCATTATAATATTTGTAGAAAAGAGAAGCAACATTAATATGATGTAATAGTGGTTGAAGGTTGGCTGCAAGAGCAGGTCCAACTATATTTAAAATGCTTTTTTGCACCTTGCAAAGGTAAAAAAAAGCATTTTAAGTAAGAAGAAGAGTGCTTTCCATCAATGACCACTTTTATACTACGATTGGAATCAAAAAATTCAATAATCTTAAAGATGTTTCCAGATACAACGTAAGAAGAAAGCTTATGGAAAAGGCCAGCATGCCAAACTTTATCAAACGCTTTATAAATGTCAAGAACGATGGCCTTGATCTCTTCACCTTTATCTAATGCACGATAAAACCTATCAGTTATTACTGTTAGCAAATCAGCCGTAAAACGAGAAGATCGAAATCTAATATTGATGATCAGAAAGTTATTAGATTCAAGATAAGAGATTAAGTGCTTGTTAATTAAAGATTCAAAAACATTCCATTGATCAGGATAATTCTGCTCTTATTCCAACTGTAATATCTGGCAGACCTAGGGTGAATTTTGATAATTCAAGTACCAAAATAATTCAAGTACCAAAACAAAGAAAAAAAGATCGGCACCGTTAGTTGCATCCTTTTCATCCTCAAAACTATTGTTTGCATCAGGTTATGGTTTGCGCGAAGATGGTAAAGAAAAAAAAGCTGAAGCTATTTTGTAAATAGTAGAATATAATGAGCCAAATTTTACTATAGTGCCTTATACACCAAAAAAAGCTCTAGCTCTGATACTTAATTGTGGACTATCTAAGGATTCATATTGGCTAATTTGTTTGGACGCAATTGAAGCATATTGTAAATTGTATCCTCCTTACAATGCTGTTCGAGATGCAAAAGAGCAATGTTTGCCAAATAATAGAGACAGTATAAATCTAACTGATTACTTAGCTTCTGTTGATCTACAAAGTTTGCCAGACCATACTGCTGCTTTTAGGCCATACTGCTGCTAGTTAATCTCCAAAAAGACTAGTTAGTTCAGAAGCCTAACCTAAATATTTTTACACTTTACCATAAAATTGGTTTTGATGGATCAACAGGTCAATCAATTTACAAGCAATTATCGAACGATAATAACCCAAGGAATCTTCAACAAGAAGGGAGTTTGGTTCTTACTTGTATTGTTCCTTTAGAATTGATTGGATTTGTCGGGTCACAAAAGAATGTTGTTTAATCCAAAATCATCATCCACTATGTACTGTCGGCCTGTACGGTTTAGTTTTAAAAAAGACACTGTAGAAGTTATAAAGAAAGAAGTAAGGTACGTCACTCTAGATATTTATAATTTCATTTGTAGCTATATGCCATTTAATCAACTAAATGTTTATATTAATAGGTACATTAATGAGTGTCAACAAAATTTGAAGCTTACTAGTTTAATGGATAATACCATGAATAATCATTAATTGAATTGACAATGGTGGATGAAAAAATTCCCTGATGATGAAAATGCTTTGTCTGATGTAACAAGTTCAAGTCAATGTTGTTCAGTGTGTGATGCCATACCTTCTCAAATGAATAAAATTGAACTTCTTACTAAGACATTTTTACCTACCTAACGATGGTTTAAAGTATGGTCTATCAACATTACATGGTTGGATAAGTTGTATGGAATGTGTCCTTTGCCTATCATACAAACTGGGTATTGCAAACATCAAGCTAGATCAATAGAGAACAAGATTTCTGTTAAGTTAAAAAAGAAAACAATACAAGAACAAATCATTCAACAAATTAGACTTGTTATTGATGTCCCTTGGTCGGGTGGCTCTGGTACATCGAATGATGGAAATACTAAGAGACGGTTTTTTGAGAATACTTAAATAGTATGTAGAATTACTGGATTTGATTTATGCTTAACAAAAATGATTTATATTGTGTTACTAACATTACCCTCAGGATTTCAAATCAATCTAGATGCTTTTCAACTGTATTGCATAAATGTTGCAAACAGATATGTAAAACTGTATTCATGGTAATATATGCCCCGAAGTTTACATCGTATTTTATTACATGGACATAAATTATACAACAATTTTGATTACCTATTAGAATGCTTTCTGAAGAAGCTCAAGAATCGCGCAACAAGGATTTTAAGAAATTTTGAGAACATTATTTACGCAAATGTTTACGAAAAAAACTAACATTGATGTTTTAAGAAGGTTCTTTGTTCCTCAGATCCACTTATTAGTAGTTATAGAAAAATAAGTTTAAGCAAAAAAAACCATTGAATTTAAAAGTGATGCAAATTTTAAAATTACCTTTATTTCCTGTTACAGTAGCAACATAATCAATATAACCCTTTTAAATACTTAAATTTTTTCTATATATAACTAAAACTGGTTTTTAGAAAAATTAAAAAAAAAACTGTTTACAACCTGAACTGTTGCTAGACATTTCAGGTGTCCCTATTAACAAAATAAAAAAATCGAATAGTGTCACTACATTAGATTTATATAAAGTACTCAATCTGGTAACTATGGAGGTAATCCAATAAATAATTTAGCAGTCATTTTATTTGTCCAGTTATTATTGATTTTGGGTTATAAAATAAAAGGTTGCTAAGCAATTTAGGTATCCATAGCAATCCAAAAATAAAAATGTCACCATTAAAACCGCAATCCTTAAATTAGTAAACTGTGCAAAAATGGTCCTTAAATCTTTATTATATAACGAGTTATTAGTTTTGTCCACTGTGCGCTCCAAAAATTTAAAACTCTAAATATCTATTAGCTAAATTTGTTCTAAAACTTGTTATTCATGTTTAAATCTCAAAATGATATGTTTTTGATGATCGACTTTTGAAAATTAATCATAATAACTAAACGGAGTACTCTATTCACAATTTTGACTTACCTAAGTCAATTCTTAAAATTCTGATTACTCAATTTCATATAGAGGACCTCGTCTACTAAACAAAGTTCTTGATGAAAATATGAAAAGTATAACCTCAATAAAATGTTTTAAAAATATTGTTCAAAGTAAAAGTATTTACGTGAATTAACAAACAGAAGCATATTTTTGTACCTTCAAGTATGAAAAAAAAAAAAAAAAAAACGGTTACATTTTTTACTTTATCTACTTATTTATAATGCTGCAATTTATTGTATGCCATTGTAATTATTTATTAGCTTTTTTTATATAATGAGTACTTGCAAATTTATATAAGAAATTTGTAAAAATAATTTACGCTTACTATAGGTACTTTACGATAAGACTTCTGTCTAATACTTGCTCCTTTTATTCTTGTATATCATCTATATTTTGTTGATAAAATTTGTAAAACAACAACATTCCCAGAAATAGTTACTTCTAAATAATCTTATAATGAACTGCATTAATGATTTATAAAACAAACAACTTATTGAAAAACATGACACCAGAAATCTTAAGACCAAAAAATTAGAAAAAATATTGAAAAAAATAATGGTTAAAATATTTTGTAATTTTTATATACAAGATTAGAAAATATGTAAATATTTTTTAATTAGCAGGCGCGGATGCAGCATTTTTTGATGTTTGAGATACCTAACTTCCAGACACGGAGCAAACTCCAAAAATTTGTGTGTTTATACATATTATATCAAATAAGGATGCTTTGCAAAAAATTACGAAGATTGGAGCTTGGAAACAATAAATAAAATTTTTTTTTAGCTACACCTGTCCAAAACGTGAGAGCAACAAGTTGATAAATTATTTTTTCTACTATTCTCAACCAAGTATACATTCATCGATAAATTTTACAACTCACACAATAATCTCATAGCGTTCAACAATTATGGCCTTACAAAATTTGCAGCCCCTCAAACTGAGAGGAGTTCAAACTTTTTATGGTCATAGTTTTTAAATGCTAAAAAATTGTGTGAATTTTAAAATTTATTGATGAATATAGATTTAGTTAAGAATAGTATAAAAATTATTTTATCAATTTGTTGCTCTCACATTTGGGACTGGTGAAGCTAAAATTTTAGGGCTTTTTCGTTCCAAGGCTCCATTCGTTGCAATTTTTTGCAAAATATCTTTATTTGATATAAGTATAAACATATAAATTTTTGGAGATTGCTCCATGTCTGGAAGTTAGGTATCTCAAACATCAAAAAATGCTGCATCCGCGCCTGATTAGTGTAGCATATATAGAAAAGATAAATTCCTTTACAATAAATTAATAAATTCTTACAAATTCTAAAATCCATATTGTCGAATGGATTGATTTACATGGACGCGTGATCTAGCAATTTTTTATGGCTGATTGGGCTTTAACTCGTTTAAAATCAAAAGCAAATATGAACACGAGTACTGCGTAATCATGATCGTAATGAATACTCTTTGGCTGAGTATATTTGAATATACTCATAATAAATATCTTCATTTTGATCATGATTATCCTGGAGGATCAGCACTTTATTTTCAGAGTGATTTTTTTAATGGAAATTCTAGTTTTATTTTCAATCAAAAGTTTTCAAAATTGTAAATATGTTCTTTGATAATGTATTTATCTGGATATCTTCTGCCATTGCTGCAGTTTTGAACGACGTAATGATCACTAACCCGCCCCCCCCGCCCCCATGTATAACATTTAAGACATGTTTTTATTTATTTCGATACATTTTTTTGTGCCTCAGTTACCCCATATTGCTTTACGCGTGAAATTCAAAAATTAATATAGAAATGATGAATTGAATATATCGCCCGAGTACATAAATTTAAAATACTAATAAAATAAAAACCATAAATATATTATTTGGTAAAAATAAACTACTTTAATAATTGATACAAAGAATATATTACGCTTCTTACACCTAAAAACAACGTAGAAAAAGAAAATAACCTTATATATATATATATATATATATATATATATATATATATATATATATATATATATATATATATATATATATATATATATATATATATATATATATATATATATATATATATATATATATATATATATATATGCGTCTTAAAAGTTTTCTAAAACTATATATCAATGATATACTATAAATTATTATATTATTTATAATAATATATGATATATTACATTGTATTATAAATTTTTACAAATTTATACATTAAATTACGAGGTAAGAATTTTTTACATTTATTATAAAACCTATATTACATCAGACATATTGTATTTTATTCTAATATATTATATATTATGCTTTGGCAGATTATAATATTTCAGTTATTTCAATATTTGACTTAATATATAGATAATAATATACTAAATAATTTACATTATAAAACAATAAATACAGACACTCCAAAAATAAATAGCTCAATTTTTTGACGACAGTAGCTGTGAAATTCTTGCTAATTCTGAAGGTCTTACATTACTTTCATTTGATATCTGAACAAATTCCGAAGGTCTAACATTAATATCATTCGACGTTTGCCGTAATTCTAAAGGTTTATCGTTCGATATTTTTCGTTTCGGAAGGGTTTTAGGCGGCACTTTTTTTTGAACTACTTCTTGATCTTTTGATCTTAAATCAAATGTCTGATTTTTTATCGATAGCTTATAATCTTTTGTTAATGAAACTTGATTTTTTAAAGGCTCTGTTTGACGTTTTTTTGAAGGAAAGTCATTTAAAAGTTGTTGATTATTTGTATAAGATAGAAAACTCGAGGTATTTTCTTCGAACTTAGGCAACGCACTAAGCAAAGAGTCTCCATCCTGAGAAAGACTTTTATTATAAAAAAAACTACTTTTTTGATTACTCAAGAAATTGTCAGTAGATTTTGACTTTGTTTCAGAGGTTAATTCTTTTTCAAAGTGTATACTCTTTTTTAAGTCATTACCTTTATCCAAAACACTTTCTCCTTCATCAAGAGCCATAACATCTGCACCTACTAGTCTCAGAGCATCTGTGTTAATAACCTCACTACTTTTACTAATAGAACTATCTCTTGATAAAGGTGATATTTTTGAGAATGCACTTTTATGTGACAATGCATGAATACGCCAAGGATTAGCACCATTTGGAGGTTCTGAATCCTTTGAGATTTCTGAATCCTTTGGGATTTGGTCTGGAAAAATGATAACTCTATCTGGGTCAAAATAATTTTTTTCGGTATTTAAGTTAATTTTTTTTTCATTTTGTTCATCAGGAAAAATTACTAAACTATCTGGATTGTATAAACTATTAACTTTACTTTTCTGCTCTTTATGGATTTCTTGCAATGGTTGAACATGATTGTTATGCTGTAACTTATTACATATTTTAGATTGAATTTTATTATCGATTATTAAGTTTTCTGACTTATTGCAAGACTCTAAATTATAGTTTTGAGTTGAGGACGATGCATCAACCTCCGAATACAAATCTGGATTTAAAAAGTGAATCTTATTTTCTAGATGATTTATTACTTTACCTGATTCCATATTATTATGGTCATATACTAAAGATTCTAACTTTTCACTAATTTCAGATTCAATTTGAAATACACTACCAGGTGCTAAGTCAGATACTTTATCATCTGTATTTAAATTCATAGGTGTCTGATTGGTAGTCTCCAAAAAAACAGTGCTTTCGCCAAGATCAGGAGATAAAGGATTGCGTGACATAATATTAGAGCATTGTGAAAGATTTTCATGCAGATTTTTCTCACAATCAATTGTACAATTAATAGAATTATGATGGCTGGAATCATGATGATTTGTATATTGTGGTATTATTTTATTTTTGTCTTCCCAATCAAGTTTTTCAATATTATTTTTTTTAAGCTCCAATATCTCTGTTGGTTTGATGCATTCTTCATTAAATTCAACATTATTTAAATCAATTGGTTTTACATGATCATTAATTCGACTTACTTGATTGTTAATATGACTTGCTTGTTTATCATTTAATCTAACAGAATCTAAAAATTTCATTCTTTCTAAATCGCATTCAGAAGATGAGTCGGCTTTACCATTTAAAGTAGACAATTTGTCAATATCATCATCAACATTGTCTAAAGATATACTCTGGTTTACATCGGAAATTCCAACTGATTTTCTTTTCAACATGGAATACAAACCACTGGGTGGTATTTTTGAGGAACTATTTTTAATTTTTTCAATGCTTTTCGGAAACTCTATGGCGCACATAACATTTTCTGTGTTTTTACCTGAATTGTTAAGAAAACAATATATTATAAAAAATTAAATTAACAAAAATATTTTGTGCATAATGAGTGCGCCATATACTTTTAAAGCGAAAGCATTTTAATATTTGACTTTAAAGTAAAAATTTAAATTGTTACTTTAAAAGAAAACATTAAAATAACACTTTTGCTTCAAAAGTACATTACACTTTACATGCCATATGTACACACAACAAGTTCTACAGATAACAACACCCAACATTCACCCTTGAACTATTCTGATAAAGTTAATAGTAAATTAAGGTTAGAGTAAAAAGTATTTTAAAAAAAGCAACAGAAGGTAAGAAAAATCAACTTTTAAATTAAAATTGATACTACAGTATTAAAATGTTACCATGACAACTACTGTGTTAAAATATTATAATCATGTTAACTACAGTGCTAGAACTTTTCCTGTTGAGTTTTATTTAATTCCATATTGTTTTTTAATTTAATCTATTTCATTATTAAAAAAGTTTATGTATTATTTTAATCAAAACAATAATTAATTTTAGTCAATTAAAACAACCAGTGTTTTTTTTTGTTTGTTTTTTTTTTTAGGTTATTTAGGTGCTCCTAGAAGTCCTTACGGTCTTAACACAGAGCACCGTGGGAGAGCATTTAACTAGAAGTTCACGCCTCCTTTCTTATTAATGTTGCTTATTGGGCTAGAGCTGGCATCAAACCTGGGACCTTTGGGTTCTGAGCCAGAACTCTAACGACTGCACCACGACTGCTCAAAGTGTTCTTCTAAGTAGTTTTAGTCAAAAATTCTACCTGGGTACAAATTACTGTCAGTACGACAGTAAGCCATTTACTGCCAATAATATTATAAAATAACAAAATAAACAAAATAACAAAAAAAAAAAAATAGTAATAATAACAAAATATAATAAAAATTCAAGCATAATAAATTTAAAAACAAGTTTAAAATAATAATAAATTGTTGTTTGAAACCTGGATTCTTTAATACATTTTCAGAAGAATCTTCCTTTCTGTTGGAACCAGAATTTTCCAATACACTTCCAGAAGAATCATCCTTTCTGTATTCTTTTTCTCTTTTTGAAATAACAAATAAATCTTGGCTCTCAACATTTTGTTGATGTGTATTAGATAAAGACGAAACTAATTTGAAATCAGATTTAGATTCACAGCAAATATGGTCAACAGTTCTATCACATGTAATGTCATCATCACCATCACTTTGTTCAGAGACTTCAGCAATTTCAGAAAGAATTTCTAAAATTATATTAAATAACATTTAATATAATTTTAGAAACAAAATAACATAAATATTAAAACAAGCTAAAACACTGTCTAAAATAAAAAGAGTTTTTTAAAAACCTGATTCAAAACTGATATCTGGGTTATTTTGTGTGTTACTTTGTGCTGGAATCAAATCATATATTTCGTCTGAAATCGCAGAAACATCTTTTTCAGTGTCATTTGCATCAGAATTTAAAATACATTCAACATTATGATCATCATTAGAACCAATACAAGCATTACATGTTTCTACTTGATTTAAGGTGCTGCTGTCTATTAAACAGAAATGGGGGTTTGTAAACTAGAAATTTTGTAAATCTGAAAACTGAAATTTTAATAAACTTTTTATATTTTGGTATAATTATTCAAAATCAAAATTATATCTATAAGCTATTTTTGAAAAAACTTACTCAATAGAGGAGTTTCATCTTCTGGAGAAGAATAATCATCTGGCGGTGGCTCTTGAGGTGGTGGTGGAGGAACAAATAAAGGGGGAGGTTTATCTCCTTCTGATGATTTTTTCACAAACCTTTGGGATTGAGTGGTTATAGGAGATTTTACAAGAGTTTCTGGTATTTTTTGAAGTTGAATATTTTTATCAAAGTTAATAGAACGAATAGGTGCAACAGGGCTTAATGATTTCACAACAGTGTCTTTCACAACAGTATCTTTCACAACAGTGTCTTTCACAACAGTGTCTTTCACAACAGTGTCATTCTCAACAGTGTCTTTCACAACAGTGTCTTTTGTTGATTCTAAACTTTTTTTAGAGTTGATAAACCGAGTTGCAGGAACAGGGCTTGGCAAAATGGATTTAACAACTGCTTCATTAATTTTTGCAGGCTCCATGTTTTTATTAGAATTTATTGTACGAATTGGTGGAACTGGGCTTGATGAAATAGACTTTACAAAATTTTCACTACTTTTTGCAGGTTCAACAATTTTATTTGAGCATATAGATTGAACAGAAACAACAGGGCTAGATGGAACAGATGGTGCATGACGTTTAGATTTATTAAGCAACTTTGGACTTGAACTATTTTGAGAAGCTGTGTCTATTGTCTTATTAGAAAAATTGGATTCAGAAATCTTTTCAGATTTTACTAGATCTTTTGACTCCGGTGGTGGAGGTGCTGGTCTTTTACTAGTCTTCTTTCCATCATCTATAGATGAAGAACCTACAGTGTTTGGGACAAAGCGGTATAATTCTGATCTGTCATTGATTGCATGCACTTGTCCAGCAAGATCATTTAGATCATCTATGATATCATGAGACATTTTGTGATCTATAAAAAATAAAGAAAAAGTTAAAATTTAAAAATGAACATTAGTTTTAATTTTAAAAAAACAAAAAATTATAGATCCAATATTAGTGAAATGAAGAAAATGATTGGCAGCCAATTTCTTTAATAAAAAATTATCAGGGTTTTATAAAATTTACAAGAAATTTATACACCACTAAGTTTTTATATATCAGAGAGCAACAAGCCACCGTATAAAAAATGATAACACTTGATAACATATATATATATATATAATATATATATATATATATATATATATATACATACATACATAAATATATATACATATACAGAGAGAGACACACACAGATATATATATATATATATATATATATATATATATATATATATATATATATATACATATATACAGTATTGTACAAATTAGTTCGGACAGTGGCAAAATTGGAATAATTATCACAATATGCCTAACCTTTAGCTATGATACTAAAGATTCTCTTGTTTTTTCAGATAAATAAGTGTTTTACTGTAGTCTACTAATATTTTTTATTTTATTTTATTTGCATTCACTCCCAACAAGGCTGCAAGCAACCACTATTAAGTTGGGAGTTACTAGGAAAAAAAAAGAATAGAGTTATAGAGCAAGGAAACGGTTGACAGAAGACTTGAAAAGTTGAAGGTTGTATGAGTCAGGAAAACATGAAGATGGGAGAGAGTTCCAAGGATTGAAGTGCGGGGAAAAAAACTAGATGAATAAAAGTTTTTAGAGCATGCAGGGACAAATACAGTAAACGAATGAGACTTAGCTGAATGACAAGTAAAACGAGAATGAATTTTAGTTGATTGAACTACAGATGAAAACTCTTTTGAGCAGTGACCATGATAGTATTTGTAGAAAAGAGAAAGAGATGCAACTTTACGACGATGGGAAAGAGGCTCAAGCTTAGCAGATAGTCCAGGTCCAACAACATTTACAATGCGTTTTTAGAGCTTGTCAAGAAGAGAAAGTGAATCGTTAGAAGAACCAGCCCAAATATGACAACAGTATTCCATACAGGGACGAATAAGAGATTTGTAGAGGTAGAGAATGGAATCAGAAGTAAGGAAATAGCGAGCACAATAAAGAGAAGCAACCTTAGCAGAAGCTAATTTAGCAATCGAATGCATATATGGTTTCCATGAAAGGTTAGTAGTAAGCGATAATCCAAGAAGACGTAAAGAGGAGGACTCAGTAAGAGGATTGCCATTCATTAATATAGGAATGTTGACCATATTACGGTAGTTGTTTGCAGTAAACAACTGGGTTTTGTTAGAGTTAAAAATTCACAAATGTAGAAAGAAATGATTTGATAATCTTAAAAACTTTCCCAGAAACACCATATGAAGCAAGCTAATGGAGAAAACCAGCATGCCAAACTTTGTCGAAAGCTTTAGATATGTCGAGAACAATAGCCTTAGCCTCACCGCCTCCATCTAATGCACGATAAAATCTTTCAGTTACAGCAGTTAGCAAGTCGGCCGTAGAGCGAGAGGATCGAAAACCGTATTGATTGTCTGACAGTAGTTTATTTGACTCAAGATGAGATGTGAGGAATTTGTTGATCAAAGACTCAAAGACCTTGCTAATAACAGAAAAAAGACTGATCGGACAATAATTGGAGGGGTCAGAATTTTCTCCAGAGTTTTTGAATATTGGAACCACAGATGCCATTTTCCAACAAGCAGGAAAACAAGACTCAGTAAAACACTTGTTAAATAGTTTAGAGAGAATTGAAGAAAGTTCTGGAGAACAATTCTGCAAGACTGTGACAGGAATGTTGTCTGGACCACAAGCTGTAGACGAGTTTAATTGAGATATGACTTTAGCAACAGAAGCCGGAGTGATTTGAATGTCTAACAATGGGTCAACCTGTTTGACTGGAATGGAAGGAGGAGAATGTCCATAAGATTCAAGAGTGGAATTAGAAGAAAAGTTCTTTGCAAATAGTTCTGCCTTATCCTTGGGAGAGGTAATAAGATCAGTTCCATGAATGAGAGATGGAATGTTAGATCTACCCTTGTTAATAATGCTGTTGAAGATTTTCCAAAAGTCTTTAGAGCCTAACTTCTGTGATAAGATGCGAGATTTAGTGAACTGAGAATGATAGAGTTTAGCATCAGAAAGCACCTTTTTACATCGATTTCTTGCATAATAAATCGATTTCTTGCATAATAAATAGCCGTTTGTTCTCAAGAGAGTTGTTCTTTTGAAAAAGATGAAAAAAATGATTACAATTGGATATAGCAGCCGCACAAGAAGGAGAAAACCATGGAGTAGAATGAGGCTTGACTTGAAACCAACAAGAAGGAATAAAAGCTTCCATTCCAGCCTGAATCCAGGAGGTTACGTAGGAGGCGCATTTGTCAGCTGAGAGAGAAAAAACATCAGCCCAAGGACCATCACGAAGAAAATCACGAAAGGAATCCCAGTCAGCTTTAGGGTAGTAGTAGGTGGTGCGATGATAAGGTGAGCCCAAAAAAGAAGTACGAGAAGAAAGATTTATAGAGATCATTGCATGGTCAGAACCACCTAAGGAAGAAAAGATAGAAACTGAACATAAGCTAGGGTCAGAGACAAGACATAAGTCAAGGAGTGAAGGTAAATGATTAGGGTTGTCAGGAAAACGAGTCACAAAGTTAACTATCTGAGTAAGAGATTGAGAAACGCAGAAGTTAAAGGCTTTAGTGCCAGCAGGATCAATGGTGTTAGAGCCAAGCCATTCAGTGTGATGGGCATTAAAATCACCAACAACAACAATATTGGCAGAGGGGTAAAGAGAGAGGGCATGGTCAATTTGATCAGAGATAACATCTAAAAGAGTGCAATCATGGGAAGAAGGAGAATGATAAAGAACAAAGAAAAAGGTGATAGAGTGAAGAGGTGCTAGACAAAAGCACATAAAAGAATGGTCAAAGGATTCAAACCTGATTTCACGACAAATAGGGGAATTAATGCATATGTATACCCCTAAACCTAGCATGTGACTATTGGAATATTTACAAATCAAAGGATAGTACCCATCAACACTGACATCTGAAGAAGGAATTGCAGAATTTAAATTTATTTCACTGAGTGCAAGCAAGTCTGGTGAATTTTGCAAGAGGTAAGACTTAACTGACAGAAAGTTGCTTCACAGACCGCAAATATTTGTAAAAGGTATATTAAAACATTTAGGTGGTGGGGATGGTTTTTTAGGTTTAAAATTTTTGGTTACTTTGGTCATGATTCGGGTTTAATGAGAACTTGATTCATTCATAGATAGAGCACAGCCTCCTAATCAATGAGCTATGCAGTTGTCTCAGTCCTGTTAATTAACCCTAAGTCATGACATAGGGCTCATTATTTGGCCTAGACAATGCACACCAAAAGCATTAACAGGGACACCATCCATGCGCAACATGGCACTGTTAATACTCTGATATTTTGCAGCTGTTGATGGAATCAGCCTCTCTGAGAGCTACCACAGAGTTCGGGAAACCTTACTACCAGCCGGCCTCAGAACCATTAAACTGAGTTTTAGAGCTGTACCCTCATATGGAGATAACAGGAAGAGTTGCATAGCCATTATCAAGGAGGCATAAGCAAAATTCTATGAGTAGAGTCAAGGAGATTCAGCATTCATCATCCTAGGCAGGAAACAATGTAACACAGGTTACATCTACGCCAGCCTATTAGATGAAGAAGGGGTTTGAGGCTGGTTAGCAGAATTTTTCTGCTTACCCCTAAAGTCTTTGCCTAGGAGGCCTTCTACAAGACAGTAGCTGGATGCAGTTAACATCTGCCCAAGATGAGTATTTTTATCGAGACACCATCTTGAGCCTTTACTCAACCAAGAGCCCCAAGGCAGGGGATGTTTAGCTGGATGCAATTAACATCTGCCCAAGATGAGTGTTTTTATCGAGACACCATCTCTAGCCTTTACTCAACCAAGAGCCCCGTGGCAGGGGAATTTTTAGTCAGAGTTTATTTCTCCTAGCCTTTGCCTAAGAGGAGCGCACTCTGCAAGGCAACAGGGCTTGTGGCAGGTAATACTGGGTTACGCGATACCAGTAGCAAGATTGATTTTGATTATCCTGACCTGACCTGGAGTAATTACTTTCCGAAACAGTACTTTGAGAAAACCAGGCATGACATTTTGGAAGTGCATTAGGAAAAACACTGCATCTAACAAAATACAGGAGTCTAAGGTGAGTGTAGGTTTTGTAGTTGGAGTAAGTAGCTAGTTACTGAGCTCATGCTGCATCAGAGAATAAACAGAACACAAACAAACATAAATCAACTTACGGGTGAGTCAACACCGTGCCAGAGGTTCAGACAGAACACAAACATACATAAAAAACATAAAGTAACTTACGGGTGAGCGAACACCGCGCCAGAGGTTCAGGTTCATATATATATATATATATATATATATATATATATATATATATATATATATATATATATATATATATATATATATATATATATATATAGAGAGAGAGAGAGAGAGAGAGGAGGTCAAATCGAAACTTTCCAGAAATGTGAAAGACTATCATATAACTTAGTATGTAAAAGTTACAGCATTAAAGTTAGCACTTAATATAAGGCAATATAAGGCAAATAATTGTGTTATTTCAACCACTGTCTGAAATAATTTGCACAATACTGTATATATAAAGAGAGAGTAAGAGAGAGTTTAAAATAATTTAAGAAAATTTTTAAATTAATCTAAATAATTTAAGAAACTTTAATTTTTATTTAATTTCTAAAATCATTTTATTACACAGTGATGTTTTCAAGACCACATTGTAATTAAGTTAGTGTTCAAGTTACAGCCATACTGCATATATAACTAAGCGCAAAAACAGTCTGTAGAAAACACTGAAATGGTATAAGAATATGAAACTTGCGCTGCAGAAGATAGAAGTTGGGAGTCAATAGAAAACAAAGAAAAGTGTTAAAGAGCAAGTAAACTGTTGACAGAAGACTTGAGAGAAGACTTGAGAAAGTTCAAAATCATTGAAGAGCTAGATCAATAAAATTTAAACCATGAAGGAACAGATATTGTAAAAGAGTTGTGTCTAAATCATATTCCACTCACAACGACGTTATGATATTAATATTTTGCTGAACATTCAACATTATCAAGAAGTCTAAAGATTATTATTACTCACTTAATGAATGAAAAAAAAAAGGTGAAGTAAAATAAAAAAAAATAAAAAAAAAAAAAAAAAGAATGCAAAAATATTTCACTGATACTGTATAAAACCTGTGAAAATATTTCACAGACATTACGCAGATCTCAAAACGAAGTCAAAAAAAAGACAGTATCACGTACTCTACAAGGTTACCAGAAAAAAATGTCATTTATTGATGTAACGAGGACGCAACAATGATGTAAACAGACAAAAAATTTAATCTTATACTTAAATTTAAATAAATTTGCTGACAAAAGTTAAAAATATCTAAATACTATTATTTCATAAAATTTAGGTCTGTAAACTCTTTTTCTTTAACAAGATAATAATAAGACAAAAATAAGTACAGAATGTACTACAAACTAAAAGAACGAAAACAGCTTCATTATATCTTTTTTGACAAAAAATTTAAACAATTAAAAAATATATATATTTAACACCAGTTTTAAAATTTGATAAATAAAAAACAAAAAATAAACATTTTTATTATCATTTTATTAAATTTAACTTGATATCTAAAACAAATCTTTTTTTTTTCCTTAATTATGTCTAATCAAACTTGATATTAATGAATTAATACTTATTAAAAGTTATTTTACATGCAATCATAAATGTGTTAACAGTTTAAACATACTTAGAATAAAAAAACAACAAAAAATAGTACTTACCATTTACCTTTCTTAAGTAAGAATACCCCCCTCTCTCTTTCACAAATGATAAAATAAGGTTTTGAATAGAAGAGTTTTGTAATTCACTCTAAAAAATTATTGGTTTTTATTTTGTTGTAAAAAAAATGATGATTAAAAAAGTAATCAGAGATTTAAAATAAAAAAAAAAAAAAAAGGCAACTAATCAAATTTAAAGGAATGTACTTTTAGAATATTAGCGACGTTAAAAAAACCAATCCAATTAGAATCTTCCAACTAAAATATCAAATAAGAACATCAAAATAAAGTATTAAATAAGAAATGCTAGATAATATTATGACTGCAATCACTATTATAATTCATATTAGTGATTGCAGTCATAGTGTATTACATAGATTTGTGCATAATCCATATAATAAAATATTAAAAAAAAATTTTTTAATACAAATGCAACTAAACTCCCTGATAATAAAAAAAACAAAAAAAATGGCTATTATTCTACTTACTAACAAAAAATACAAATACATTAAAATATGTCTTCTGTTAGTAAAGTTAAATAAAAGAATTAAAATAAGAAAAATTAGATTTCAGTTAACTGTTTGTTAACAAAAAAATCTAAAGCTAAACACTCAGTCAACACATGTACACTCATGGTTTCTTTCCTAAAAAAAAAGTCAATAAATGTATACTTAAATGTTGATGATGACTTAAATTGCTTTGTTCTAGTAATACTGACCTGTACATGATGGCACTAATGCTAATAACTTTTGAATTGGGCCTAGCCTGTAAGGGTTAGTGTTACGGTCATCGAGCACCACTATTTCCTAAATCACAATTACTGTCACCGCAAAAGAGGATGTTTGTCTCTGGAAGATGCCTGGGCTAGCTTTTTGTCATAAGTCAGTTATAAATCCATGCATAGGTGTTTAACCCATCATGGTTTTCTGGAGTATGACTGGGCTGGCTTGGTGTAGTTCAGAGATAAATTTTTTACGCTGGTTACTAACAATACAAGAATCTACTGAACGACATAAACAGCACAGACTTATACATTACACCTATACACCCTTATGCACATACAGCCAGTTTACATCGTTTGCATCCTTTTTGTTCTTTCATAGATAAACTATCTTTGTTTGAACTCATCCTTATTTTGATAATATTTTCTTTTAATAGATAGTATGTGGTTGAAATGTAGATATAGATTTGTATGTTATGTTTTTGAGGTTTTCATGTGTGATTGAGTTTTTCATTTTAGGATTCATATATATATATATATATATATATATATATATATATATATATATATATATATATATATATATATATATATATATATATATATATATATATATATATATATATATATATATATATACATATATATATATATATATATATATATATATATATATATATATATATATATATATATATATATATATATATATATATATATATATATATATATATATATATATATATATATATATATAACTTGAAATATGTTTATAACTAATAAGTAAAAAAATTAGTCAACAAAATAAACAATAAACGAAATATTTTCTTCTTTTAATTTTACAAAAATTACTCTAATTAAATATTTATAATAAACAAAATATTTTCTTGATTTAATTTTACAAAAATTACTCTAATTATAAATTTATAATTAAAGTAATTTTTGTAAAATTAAAAGAAGAAAATATTTCGTTTATTGTTTATTTTGTTGACTAATTTTTTTATTTAGATATGGTCTCAAAGTTACTTGCAATTTGGACCGTAGAGAAAACTTTACTTTTTAACAATGTTTTTTTCCGCTTGGTACATTGTTTTTGTATCACGATTTATATCTCAGTTATATTGCCCAAAATGAATTTTAATCACTCATTTGGCTTAAATTTACCTGGCTTTGTTACAATATTTAGTTAGTCTTATTGCAATACTCATTAATTTATTATTTATCTGCTGATTTTCAGATTATTACTGTTAACAAGGAGTTTGTTAACAGTAATAATATAATTTGTTTTAATTTTCATATGCACAATTTTCATCTTTTATTATTATTCAAAAAAAAAATTTTATATCCTTTTTTAAATGTTTATATTTATGCCAGTGACATTTTTAAGGTTTTTATGCAACAATTTTTTTCCCAATCATATATTGTTCAATTATTGTTATGATTTTGGGTTTCGCGGGTTGCTCATTTTCCTACACTTTTCATTGGTTATCATATTTCGAATGAGGTATCTATGACAGCGTAAGAGTTTATTTAAAGCTATTGTTGTTTTGTTAATTTAAACTTTTTTTTTTAATGAGGTACTTTCTGATTATCTTGTATACGTACGATTTTTCTGATTATTTCTGAATACTTATTCAGAAATAATTAGAAACCTTTGTTTTATAAGTTTTTTGTCTGGTGATGTATTTGTTGTATATCTTTGTTCATATTGATGTTTATGAAACAACTTTTTTAAAATTTATTGTTATTGTTGTTGTTGAGTACAATTTTGGGTGTATAGTCTGTCTTATTTATTTTTAAATATTCCTCTATTAAACTTTATTTTTGTCTTGACAACTGTCAAAATATGTTTTGTTCAATAAATAATTCTCATTTATTCTAATTTACTTCATTTCTTCCCTCAGGCGTTCACTGCTCGTGTGTGATCATTCGGCGAATTTTATATGCCAAAGTTTTTAAAAAATACAAATACATTAAAATATGTCTCCTGATAGTAAAGTTACATAAAAGAATTAAAATTAGAAAAATTAGTTTTCAGTTAATTGTTTGTTAACAAAAAAATCTAAACAACATATGTACACTCATAGTTTCTTTCCTAAAAAAAAAGTCAATAAATGTATATTTAAATGTTGATGATGACTTAAATGGCTTGGTTCTAGTAATACTGACCTGTACATGATGGGACTAATGCTAATAACTTTTGAACTTCTCAAATTCTTAGTCAGTCACATTAAGAACTTGCTTTCGAGACAACCCGAATCATTTACCTTCAGTCTTTGATTTGTGTCTTGTCTTTAATCTTAGCTTATGGTCAGCTTCTTTTTATTCTTCTTTGGGCATTTCAGACCAAGCTACAAGCTACAACCTTTTCAACAGAATAACCCTATCATTCACTTCTTTCATCTCTCTACTAAAAATTGCATATTTTAATTTCTTAGATTCAGGCACAAAACTTTTATATAAAGATATAAAAGTAATAAAGCACAGTATCAAAGCTGTAGGAGTAGAAAGAGAGTAGAAAGAGAGAAATGCAGATGTACTTTTGAAGTGCCAATAAAAGAGTGGGATAGGTTTGTTGGGCAAAAGAAACGCACAAATCAACTTGGACTACTTAATCATGCCTACACATCTTCTTTAAAGAAAACTGAAACTTGAAAGATAAATCATCTAACACCTGATAATGGAACTTCTTGCTGCATTGCTAATGAAATGCTCAATTAATTAAAAATGCAGTTATTGATGTAAAATACAAGGAGGTAATGGAGCAAGTTTTGAAGCAAAACTTATATTTTTCTAACCCAGAGAATACTTTATTGGCGATGATAAGTGATAAAAGAAAACAAGTTAGAACTACAGCCATTCAAAGGATACTTAAATCCAGGAATACTAGCGATATATATATATATATATATATATATATATATATATATATATATATATATATATATATATATATATATATATACACACAAACACACAGAGTACATCATATAATAGTATAAAGTTAATATATTAAACAACGAAGAAAAAAAATAAGCTGAAGGAAAAAAAAATAAAAATGCTACTTACATTAATATAAAACTCCCCTGGGTAATCCTAAAATATAAACAACAATAATAATAGTAAAAACAACTATTAATATAAAACTATAAAAATAAAAATTTTAGTATTAATATTAATAAAAGTAACAATAAAAACAACTTATAGTTTAATTTAATTTATCAAATTCATACATCAGATACACTACTGCTGCTATTTTGTGATCCAATACTGTTTTGCTTTTTTAATGAATCTTTCACATTCACAATTTTAAAACTTTTATTAGAGAACTCTTCAGTTATACAACCTAACTTTGCAATCATTGCTCCTTTTGAATCAACTAGCCTATATTTATCAGGATCAAGGTCGGCAGATAAACATATATTTTTAAGTATTGAACTGAGTTTCATGCCTAAAAAAACTTTGACTTGTTGAACTTTTCCTGATGGTAGTGTAACATTCAAGTAAAAACTTTTCTAAAACAAATTTTTTATATAAATATATATATATATATATATATATATATATATATATATATATATATATATATATATATATATATACATATATATATATATATATATATATATATATATATATATATATATATATATATATATATATATATATATATATATATATATATATATATATATATATATACATACATATATATAAACATATATACACATATTTTTATTTTTTTATAAACTTTATTGTTAGATATTATATCTTTTTAAAAATTATGATTTTTTTTTCAATTTTTCTCATTTTACTAACAATTTTGTATAAAGTAGCCGGAAATTTACTGGAAAAAATAATAAATACAGTATTGATTAATCTTTTTGTTTTTTTTTAATTTTCAACTGTTATTACTTTTTAAACATGTGTTTGACTCCGGTTATTATTAATACCTCGTAGGAAGAGGATTTAGAGAGGGGTAATAGCTTCCCCCATATTTATTTAGGAGGAGGGTCACTTCCCAACCCTGGCTATTTTAGTCACTTTCCCTCAAACTGATATGACCTTCCTACGCTACTGAATAATATTTTACTTTATATTTTGAAACATAAACTATGTTCAATAATTTTTTTATGTTAATAACTCAATTTTTTATGTATGTTCAGTTATTTATTTACAGTTTACTAATGTATTAAATTAATATCATTTCAGTTAATGAATTACAATTAAAGTAAAAAACATTGCTGAAGTTAAAAAATATTGCCTCTTAATTTAATCTGTAAGTATTTTCAATATTTAAAAATATGATATGGTGATATTAGTATGTATATTAGTAAATTAATTCATACAACAGTTTTAACTTAGGATATTATGAGTAGTCACATTGCACCTCAGCTGAGCTCTTAGTAATTCAACGGCTTAAAAGCAGTGGAAAGTCTTATAGAAAGATTTCAAGAATAACTAAGCGTTCTGTTAGAATGGTTCAAAACGCTTTTAAACCAAAAATATGTGTTGTAACTAGAGGTCGCAAAAGAAAAATAAATTACAGAGAAGATAAATTAATTATTTGTGAAGCTAAAAAAGATCCATTTATCTCCAGCAATACCATTAAAAAAAACTTAGAGTTAAATGTAACAGCACTAACAATTAGAGGACGTTTAGTTGAAGCTAACTTATTTTTAAGATCACCTAGAAATGTGCCTTTACTAAAAAAACAACATATAATAGCAAGAAAATAGTTGTCATAAATATTCTGCATGGACAAATAAGAAATGGGGCACAGTTTTATGGACAGATAAATCTAAAATTAATATCTTTGGATCAGATGGTAAGCAGTTTGTCTGCAGACCTTCAAATAAAGATTTCGACCCACATTACACTAAAAAAACAGTTAAATTTGGTGGTAGAAGCATTATGATGTGGGGATGTTTCTCGTCATCTGGTATTGGTCCTATCTACTTAATAACAGGCACTATGACAGCTGATATTTATACTAACATACTTGAAGAAATAATGCTTCCTTATGCTAGGATAACATGCCACTGTTCTGGATATTTCAACAAGATAATGATCCAAAACATTTATTATAATTTTTTAAACGGTTTTTTAACGGTTTTATTAGTTTGATAATGGCTCTTACTATATGAGCCGAAATATCACTTATAGAGAAAAGAAATAAATAGTATGATATGAACTAGCAGTTCTCTTACAAAATTAGCTAAAATTTTAAATATTTGTGAAAATACAGTAATCCAATGGTTTCATGAGTACTTTTCCAGTGGTGACTGTATTAAAAACTCCTAATGACCTTCAGCTTGTATATGTATATGTATATATATATATATATATACATATATATATATATATATCTACTATAGCATATTTATATGCGCAATTGCACACTTTTTTTGCTAGCCTAAATTAAGTGAGCATTTTTAGAAAACGATGAGGGAAAACGAAGAATAATGAATGATAATGTTGCTGACCCATACCAAACCCTCAGTCGATGTAGCAGCACTCCACGGCGAGTCAGGCTATTTGTCAGTCGATGTATGTATTGAAGCCCCCGGCAGCAGGCTATTTGACATTAGGTGAGTATGACATCATCATGCTCACCTAACTCAGCAGTATAAGATATATACATATATATATATATATATATATATATATATATATATATATATATATATATATATATATATATATATATATATATATATATATATATATATATATATATATATATATATATGTATATATATATACATATACATATATATATATATATATATATATATATATATATATACATATATATATATATATACATATACAAGCTGAAGATCATTAGGAGTTTTTAATACAGTCACCACTGGAAAAGTACTCATGAAACCATTGGATTACTGTATTTTCACAAATATTTAAAATTTTAGCTAATTTTCTGATGTCTTTATCTCCTAAACATGGATCTTGTTCTGCAAACCATTATGGCTTATCAAAAAAATTTCATTTTTTAATAATTTTTTTATAGAAATTATTGTATTTTTCTTTGTTTGATTCATTTATTTTGTCTTCTAATGATTTATGCGCAGCTCTAGTTTCAACATTTTAGAACAAAGATTTTTACTTAGTTTACTAAAAAATTCTTTTTGATTAATTTTAGAAACTTTTCCGATCTGGCGCCTTTATATTCAAACTTTTCTGCTGCAAGCTGTGTTTGCAAATAATATTCATCTGAATTGTTTCTCATTGATTAAAATATATGGTTTTTTAAATTAATGTGCATCAGGTAAAAAAGTTTGTCTATCTTGTAACTTTTTAGAAAGATGTTCTGGTTCTATCAAAACATCTAGCATAATTTCTTTATAAGGCCTCGGTATTTGGCTCTATTTTTTCCATTAAGTTTTTAATATAATGAAAAGTGTTGATACAATACTGCATAGTTATTCCCAACATCATCAACATAACCCAAAAGTGTTGATACAATACTGCATAGTTATTCCAAACATCATAGCTTGCACTGGACGACACATATCTGTTACCTAGAATTCATTCAATTTTAAATTAGTTTACACTTAAAGCCATGGCAACAGTTTCCAGTTCCTTTTTGTTTTGAGAAGATGCACTGTAAATGGAATATAACTTATCAGAAAACTTTTAATAAATTGGTAAAAAATCTTCCACAACAGCATTTACTGTTAACTCTAAACAGCAGTTGCTACAATGCCACAAAATTAAATTAGGAAACTGATTCAAAAGTAAACAGGCAATGCCTGCCTTTTAGCCAAGCATATTAGTAGCACCTTCACAAGCAAAAGACATCCAATCAAGCAATACAAAATTTTTGTCAAAACCAAGATTATGTAAAGCCAAGATTATAAAAGAAATTGCAATAGATGAGGATTCTGTATTTGTTAATTCGATAAGGTAAAAAAATGCTATTAACAATATTGTAAGCATTACAGTAAACAATATTTATTTCTGGTTGTTTACTGTAATAATTACCTGCAGAATGACAGAACAGACTTTTTGCTCATTGTGGTAGATTCATCTATCATGAATCCTACTTTACTATTGTTAAGTTGTTTACAAGCTTTTGTGCGCATTTCATTTAAAATGTGATAAAAAATATCAGCACATGCATGACCAGATTGTAAAACACAGCCCATGTCTAAACCATGTTCTACCTGTAATTATATTAGTTCCTTCGAATAAGAAAATGGATGACTCATTTTTGCAATGTGATAAATAGTGTAAAATATGTGGTAGGTAGTTTTGTGCTGATTGAGCTACATTTTTGAACTAAACATCTCATTAGTGTGTTTTTCAGACTTAGAAATAATTTTACAAGCTTTTCATGTGCCACTGATAGCTTATGACTTGAACCCTTTTTTCTCATTGATTGTTTTTTTTTTCTTATGTTTACTCTTTGACATTGCCAAGCGTCCACTTGTAAGCCAATTTTAATTCCCTGAGTTTTTTCAGCATATATTACCTATATTATTCACTGACTTACAAACAGAACAACCAAGACCTGTTATTGAAACCATCAACTATTCAAATGTCTTTTTTCTTGTATACCAGTCCAGTCTGGAAAAAATATGACATCACATTGACAATAGGATTGGTCCAATACTCGAAAAACTTGGTCATTTCTTTATTTATTTCAGTGTCAATTTCCAAAATGCTTTTAGAACTATCACTGCTTTCCACTTGCTAGCCATTTATCCATATTTACAATAAGTAATTTTTTTTTTTTTAAATCATAACATTCAATGTTGAGTTAAATTAATGTGTATTATATTTCATTTCACAAAAAAACATTAAAAATACTTTAATGAAAAAAACAACCAATGATGGTCTTCTTTTGTTGCTAGTAATTTTTGTTTTATCATTCAAAAGAAAAGTCGCAAAGTTTTATAATTAAGGATTTTGTTTTTGAACCGCAAATTTTTAAATAAGAAGTCAATAAAAACTGAAACATTAGATCATTTAAATTGGCTCATTGATGTAAATTTGATATTTTTACAAATTTATTTATAAGAAAAAAAGTAAATAAGATTTCCTTTAATTTATTATGAAACAAGATGGCATCCCACCCCATAATACACATTAGAAAAGGCAATAGAATGGTTTTCAAATTTTAAAAGGTACTGGGATGGCATCCCATCCCACTTCAAGCACTATATATATATATATATATATATATATATATATATATATATATATATATATATATATATATATATATATATATATATATATATATATATATATATATATATATATATACATATATATATATATATATATATATATATATATATATATATATATATATATATATATATATATATTTATAAATCTTTATAAATAACAATGATTAGGTGGGATGGTATTTTTAATTGATCGAATACTATCCCGTTACTTTTTTCTCCACTTTAAACACAGTATATATATACATACATACATACATACATACATATATATATATATATATATATATATATATATATATATATATATATATATATATATATATATATATACATATGTATACATATATATGTATATATATATATATATATACATATATATATATATATATATATATATATATATATATATATATATATATATATATATATATATATATATATATATATATATATATATATATATACATATATATACATATATATACATATTTATAAATATGTGTGTTTGTATTTATAAACTTACTTTATATATATATAAAATAAGTTTTTTTTTATAATGAAAATTTTCTCTTGAATTATTTCAACTTTTATTTTAATTCATAAGGTGTACCTTTTGTATCGTAAAAAAGTAGAAAATGGACTCAATAATATTCTGATTCTGATCTTTTTAATTGTGAAGTAATTTGCATAGATTTCGAAAGAACAAAAAAATTTCTAAACCTTTGAAATTAGTATGTATATTATTCCTGGCAATACCTGTTTTAACTAATATACTTTCAATTCAAAAATTATATTTTTATTGCTATGTTGAAACTATTGGAAACAGATGGTCTGATGTTGCATGTTTTATGCTGCATGATTTTAAATTATCAATTGTCTCAAGTGTAAAGGATATCAAAGTGATTTGCAACTTATGTGCTAGGCAAAATACAAAATGAAAAGTTTTAATTTAATTTTATTATCTAGTTTATAAAACTGAAAAAATGGGCAGCATTACTGTTTCATTACCAATTAGAACTCTGTCACATTGTGTATAGGCATTACACCTCTAAAAAATGTGACAGAAACATTGGCTATTGCAAATCAAATGTTTCTTGCAGAAACACTAGACGATCTCAAAAAAACCATAACAATTCAATATTGTATATAAACATAATACAAGAAAAATTTCTGAAATTTGAGTTTCAAAGAGTTTCAAAGCCAAACTTCTTGGTTGTTTGTTGATTTAAAACATGTTCACTTAGAGAAATTAAAATATTAAAGGTTATGAAATATTATAATAAAGTTAAAGTTTAGTTATATGGAAAAATGAAATATTTAATTTTATGTGTGTTACATCCCATATGTTTAGATCAATGATCTAAACATATAATAAACTGAAACAAGCATACATAGCTCAGTTGCCTTTTTTTGTTAAAATTTTAAAGACTTACTAATGCTAAATATTTTCTGAATAGACAAAATAAGACATTATTTGATCTTATTTGATCTTTTTTTTTAATTTATTTTATTTTTCTTTGAAATTAAAAACAAAACAATTTTATTAACGTTGTGTTCTCAATTGGCTTTCGTATGGTTTATACAAACTTAATATAAAGTGATGGAACACAGACATCATGAAATCATCTGTGGTAAATAGATGAGGTTGAGGAAGAGATAAGGTTGCAATGCTATTTTGTATAAAGTTAAAAAAAAACTTTCATATAATATTTTGTTTGCATTTTTTTTTATTAAAAGAGGGGGGAGGGGGCTTTATTATCCCATCACATACTTAGTATGTTGTAGTTGTAAATTACAATGTATTACCATCTACCTTAAAAAAAATAAGTGCTCTAAAAGGTTACAAGCTAATGGAATTTATGAGTTGATGAGTTTACAACGGAAAAACCACAGATGTCCAAAATGAGTGTTTTCAAAAGAACATTGTGAATAAATAATACTTGTATTTAGCACAAAAACTGAGTTTTTATATTGTATAAGGACTAAAATATCAGAAAAATATACTTTTAATTAAATAAATTATTAATAAACAGATATCTAATGTCACTAAACACTAAATTTCATTTTTCTCAAAATGAGAAAAATGTGACATCTGTGGTTTTACCAGTGTAGTCTACATATATATATATATATATATATATATATATATATATATATATATATATATATATATATATATATATATATATTATATATATATATATATATATATATATATATATATAATATATATATATATATATATATATATATATATAAGAACTCGTTTGACATTTATAAATGACGAAATCGTTTGATTTGAGTATTTTAGTGGTTTTTTCACATTTACATTTTAGTGGTTAATTTAAAGAGCACACACTTACATTTTCTTACTAAATTCTTGTATTATATCAAAAGAAAATTATTCTATTCAGTATTTTAAGGATATTCTTAAAATTTTTTAACTATGAGACAAAGTAAACATGAAACAGATGTCTTTCGAGGACAAGTACAGACATTTCAAGATCAGGAATTTAATAATTCTGAAGCTTTTCTTGTAAAAGAGTTATCAATGCTAATAATTTAGATAACTGAAAACACAACTCTTGCAAACCAAAGGCAATCCCCATAGAAGACGCAGCCATTTTCCACATGGCTAAGCAAAATCCTTTAGCTGGCACACTAAAAACTAAAGAAAAAATTGCTAAAAATTTGTAAATAAGTCAATCTGCCTGTCAGCACTGCCAAATGTTAGTTACCTGATAATACTCTACTTAAAAGGGTTACCCAAAAAAAATCACCCGTCTTAAAATGTAATCTTGTCAGATGTTTGAAATTTCCGAAACACAAGTGTGTGTACACAAGGTGCTTTGGACTGACATGTCTAAGTTTATTCCATTTAAATCTGGCAGAAAACAATGTTTGTCAAGATTGATGTTTTGGAGTGGCCCGCACAGTCACCAAACCTGAATCCGATAGAAAACTTGTTGAAGGAAATTGACAGAAACATAAACCGGTCAACTGCAACAAATTTAGACTGATTTTGGATCAAAGTAAATGCTGCTTGGGACTCCATTAGGCTTGAACAATGCAAAAAATTTATATTGACAATAGGCTACCATTGTCAACTAGTGAAAAATATATCATTACATATTGAACATTATTCTGTGCTATTTTGTACTATTTGTACAATTAATTTTAAAACAACGAAAATGATTGTTTTAATAAACTTGATGAATCCATAAATTTAATAGTCGAAAACATAACAAAGTTATTTTTTTTTTATGTAAACTTTCTAATAAAATTTGTTTACACTAAGCTAAATGCTTTTAAATAAAGTTTTAAAACCCTATTAAATAAATTATCATAGAATATTAAATAAAACTTTTATTTATTTCTAAAAAAATTTTTTTTTTTAAGAATGTAATTTTTTATATTATAGTTTGTTGCGATGGTTTGAAAAGGTTATAACTGAAATTTTTTGTACTCGGAGAATTTTTTTTAAATCTTTTTTTAAGTAAAATTAAAATAATTTATATTATTATCTTTTTATTTATTTATGTATTATTTTTTTGATTGATATATAAAAATACATAAATAAAAAAAAAATAGATTTATTTGCTTTTCTCCTAATATAAGTTAAAACCTTGTCAAACAAAGCGACGAGTTATTCAATCTTAACGTAATTACAAAACATAATTTAAAAATTTTCTATAAGGATTTTTTCTTTTTAATTTTTTTTATAATTTCTCTTTTGCTAAGATTTCTTTCTTTTTTATATAGTTAATCCTGTTTATAATTTTTTTCCTTTGTCAGTTTTTTTTCAGCATGTTTTTAAATATCAAGAGTTGTGGTCAAGCTTTCAAAAAAAAAATTACAAGCATGGTCAAGATTGGATTGCGATCGCAGGCCTTTTCTGTCCGTAACTGTATAACACTAATTTATCTTTTTTTTTTTCTCGTTGTTTTTTTAGATTAAAATTTTTTTTATAGGTATAAGCATAACTTCATTGTTTCACAAAAAATCTTTTTAGTTTAGCAAAACAGTAGGAAAAAAAAATAGTTAAAAGAGATTTAAATTAGTTAAAAAAGATTTATTGATTATATTTAAAAAAATTACCTTTTCATTTATGATACCAACAATATTTTCAATGTGCTGATAAAACTAAGTAGAAAAAATCAACAATTTTACTTTATTTCATTCATGAAACTATTTATCAAATTATGAATAACTTTACAATGAATAAGCAATAAAATTGACACTGTTCAGATATGTAAATAAAATTGAGAACTTTCAGATGTATACTTAAGTTCATTTTAAAAAGTCTAAAATGAAACAAAGCAGTCTTTATCCTGAGACAAACAAGTTATTAAAAGAATTGGACAGAATTTCTTTTGGAAGATTTTAAATTCCCCTCTCCCTTTCTTTATTTTATATGTAAAATTATTGCTGAAAAATTGATTGCACTCTGAGCCAAATTGAATATCTCTTTAATGTTTCACATTAGCTACTAGAATGATGCAAAAAGCACCAGTTAAATGCAGAAAGCACCAGAGAAGTGAGTTATGTGACAAACTAAACTAATCCATCTATTAAAAATTATAATAAGAATAAAATACTGAAATATTCTTGTAAAACAATAAAAGTAAATGATATATAAACAAAAGAAATGTACTTCAGATTCCCAAAGTGATGATAATTATAACACCCCCCCCTCCCTGCATTAACCCTTTCATATAAGAAAAAAAAAGGAAGAATTAAATGTCGTAGTCAGTCACCATTTTTTGATTTACTTATCTTTTATTAGAACCTTTTTTTACCATTTATTATTTATATTATTATTTATTTACCCCTTATTAAAACCTTTTTTACCACATGGTAGAATGACTTATTCACATAATTATGAATTAGTTAATTATTTTCAATTATTTTACAATAAATGGTAACGCCAACTTAAGGTTGCTTGATAATATTTGCTACAATTGCTTTATATGCTACATTTCATTTTAAATTTTAAAAACAAAACAGTACAAAAACTAACAATAATAACGACATAAAAAAAGAACATAATATAAAAATGTATATAAATTTATATAATAAAAACAACATTAGAAACTTACAGAACATGCAGAACTTTTATTAGTAAAGCGAACACCAATTGTTGTTTTTTCACTTTTCCATTTAACAAATGTATCCTTAATTTTGACATTTACAAAAGCATCCACAACAGATTGTAGTACCTATAAAAAAAATACATATATACATATTTATTACTAATATACACACTAGTGTATGTTAGTAATAAATACAATAATAAATACATTAAATATATTAAATAAAATTTAATCTTGTATCATATATATGATGCTTTCTATCTAAAATCTACATTTAATACTTTTCATATATACATTTGATATAATAATATATACAATATACTTGTAATATATACACAGTGTATTAATATTAAAACTTGAATTTTTATGTCTTTACATTAAGCTTTAAAATATATGTCAAAAAATCACAAATCACAACAGATTGATTGTTTCTTTGCAAACAATTCTAGAACTCCATCTGTTTTGCAGATAAGGACTCTATTATGATACTACTAGCATTGTGATTCCCATACTACCACCATTCCACAGAGGGAAACCACGTGGCCAAATATCAAAAAAATGACTTATTTCAAACATTATATTTTTTTACTAACACCCTCACTAATTTTCCAAATTATGAAATTCTAAATGTGACAGGCTTAGCTGTATTGGCTTTTTGAAATTAGGTGTTAAATGTATTTTTGATAAAAACTCCTTATGTGTTTCAATAATTTTTTTTTTTTTTAATATATTGATCATTGAAAAATTAACAATATATATATGTCATTGGAAAGGTTATAATATAGACTGTAAAAAATAACAAATTTCATGAAAAAGTTGGTACTACAAATTTTATGTATTGATAGTAAAAAAATTCATCACCAATTCATCATTAAATTTCAACTTTGATAAAGAATTAAAAAATAGTTACAACTTGTACCTTTTCCATATTTTGATATTTTTTAGTCTATTGTGTCTACTAACTTTTTTTTTTACTTCAATTCAGCTCCTTGGAGCTGAATAAAAAAGTCAACTTTAAATTAAGATATCTCTAAAACCACAAATGTTTTTTATTTCCTTTATTTTTATAACTAAACGTTGTTTTCTTATCTTTAACTGTCTTGATAAACTTTTGTTTACAAATCTATAATTTACAAAATATTCTAGGAACAAATTGAGTTGTGTAAAAAAGTAGTGAATTTTTTTTTAAAAAATCCATCAACATCATATTGCTTGATTGCTAAATGTTCAAATGTCCCAAAATTTAAAGTTATAGATATTATAAATAAATTTTAATCTACTCAAAGCTTTGAAAGAAAATCTAGAAGTGGAAGAAAAAAAACTTTCCATAAATCAATTTTTTAGTTAGCAAGAAAACCACAGCAAGAAAATTCAAAATTTTGCATTCTTATATCAAAAAAGTACTGGAATTAAAAAAAATACACCTAGGAAAAGCTTACATGGTGAAATTAAAATTTTGACGCGCAAAAAAGTTTTTACAACTTCCTGGTCAACAATTTTATTATGAGAACAAAGATAAACCTGATTTAAATATATTTGATGAGAAAAATTTGCATCCAAGTTCCTTATGTGGCAACCAATTTGTAGCTGGGGTATGCAGTCTTGTTTTGTCATTAAGAACACCTTGACTCCTGATCTCTACATCAAAGAATACCTCCAAAAAAGACTTTTGCTATTTATGAAAAAACATAAAAACCAATGTCTCTTGACCTTGCTGCTTCTTACTATTCTAAAAAAGTTCTGCAACGGTACAAAAATAATGTGAAATTGTTCCTAAAGATGCAAATCTTCCAAACCATCCTGAAGACAGCAAGATTAAAGATTTTTAGAGCAATAGTTAAAGACATTTTTCGTAAGGCTCGTGGAGTAACAAAAAATAAAAAGGACTTCCAGAAAAAGTAGATTAATACCACCAATATGATATAAAAATGAAAAAAATCTGTAAAATGATGGCATCAACTTGTATAAAATTTGGTCTTTTGCCAAACAGCCAACAAGTCTTTTAAGAAAAAGTTGAAACTCTAACTGATGTAAATACATTTAATATTAAAAAAATAAAGTCAAAAACATTTTAGGTTTTAAAAAAATCTCAATTTAAAGTTAACCAGATTTTCCGTGTCCACCTGATATTAAATAAAATATTAAAAATTTGCAGTGATTAGACTCAAATTTGTTTGAGTTTAAAAACAAGAATACCCTAAAAGTTTATTTATTAGTTTTTTTTTATTATTATTAGTTTTATTATTATTATTATTTATTATTATTAATTAAGAATTAAAACGACAGATTTTAATTCTTAACTAAAAATTGTTTTAAACTTTACACAATCATAACTTTCAAAGATCAAAACCTGTCAATCTGCCTAAATTTAGAATAAGATAGCAACAAGAAATTGTTTTTTGAACTCACTGCCCTTGTATTTGGGGTTGGGGCTAACTTTTTGGGATATTTTTGATCCTGGGCTTTAATCACAGCAATTTTTTTTTTGTAAAACATTATATTTCGAGGCATAAACATAATAAGTTCTGAAATTTTTTTAAATTTTCCATTGTTTGAACAATGCCCAATAGGATCATATATAAAGAATCCAACTGGGGCCCCCAGTACTTATTTGCACCTCCCCCCCCTTCATTATGCTGCATCTATGAGCTGGTTAAACACAAAAATAAAAAATTATTTTCTAACAACAGCAACCAGATATTTATTTTCCTCAAAATTTACAATCATATAATTACAATAATATATTAATAATATCAATAATAATAATAATAATAATAATAATAATAATAATAATAGTGAAAAAGTTGTTGAATTCTTCACAGATTAGAGTTTGTTCAGTTATGTATAGTTCGTCAACTTGTAAGCAATTTGGAGGTACATTGACATTTTTGACATTTATTAGACTTTTCATGCCATTCCAGATTTCACAAAGATTTTCTACATTATATGAAAAAAAAAATTTTTTTACTCAGTTTAATTAGATTAATTATGGTATATTTATAGCGTTTAAAGATTTTAGTTTAATTATATATATTTTCTTTTTTTTTTTTTTTTTTTTTTAACAACTTCGCTTCCAACAAGGCTGCAAGCAACCACTAATTAGTGTTGAAAGTTACTGGAAGAGAAAAGATGAAGATTTTAGAGCAAGATAACGATTGACAGACGACTTAAAAGATTGCAAATTATATGAATCAGGAAAGCAAGATGAAGGAAGCGAATTCCAAAGAACTGATGTTCGAGGAAAAAAACTAGATGAATAAGAGTTTTTGGAGCACTTAGGAACAGTAACAGAAAAAGGATGAGACTTAGTTGAATGACAAGTAACACGAGAATGAATTTTTGTAGATGGCACAAGAGACGCTAGCTCTTTAGAGCAGTGCCCATTATAGTATTTGTAGAAAAGAGAAAGAGAAGCAACATTACGACGATGTGACAGAGGTTGAAGGTTGGTTGCAAGAGCAGGTCCAACTATGTTTACAATGCGTTTTTTGCACCTTGTCTAAAAGAGAAAGGGCATCATTAGAAGATCCACCCCAGATATGGCAACAGTATTCCATACAAGGCCGGATTTGAGATTTAAAGAGATAGAGAATAGAATCCAGAGTAAGAAAGTGACGAGCTCGATAAAGAGAAGCGACTTTAGCAGATGCTAATTTTGCAACGGATTTGATATAAGGTTTCCAAGAAAGATCAGAAGTAAGAGTTAATCCTAGAAGATGAAGGGTAGGAGACTCATCGAGTACATTACTGTTCATAAATATAGGAAGGTCTAAATTATTGCGATAACGATTGGCTGAAAAAAATTGAGTTTTATCTGAATTAAAGTTCACCATCCACTGTGAGCCCCATGCTGTTGCAGAAGTGAGATCCTTTTCAAGCTCAGATGCCCCCTGCAAGCAATCAGAGGGAGTTGGCTTCTTATCGTGACAAGAATAAATGGTAGTATCATCAGCGAACAATGCCACTTTAGATGTGAGAAAATCTGGAAGATCGTTAATGTAAATTAAAAAGAGTATAGGGCCAAGGATTTAACCTTGAGGAACCCCTGAGGTTACAGAATGAGAAGAAGAGTGCTGTCCATCAAGGACAACTTTTATACTACGATTGGAAAGGAAGGATTCGATAATCTTAAAGATGTTTCCAGATACACCGTAAGAAGAAAGCTTATGGAGAAGACCAGCATGCCAAACTTTATCAAACGCCTTAGAAATGTCAAGAGCGATGGCCTTAACCTCTCCACCTTAATCTAATGCGCAATAAAACGTATCGGTTATTACTGTTAGCAAATCAGAAAGTAGGTTATGAGATTCGAGATGAGAGATTAAGTGTTTGTTAATTAAAGATTCAAAAACCTTGCTTATGATAGGAAAAAGACTAATGGGACGGTAGTTAGATGAGTCAGATCGCTCTCCAGAATTTT